TAACGTGCCATTAATATACAATTAGGTGGGACATAAGGTAATGTAGGTGAGACTAAAATGTTCTAACGTGTCATTAAAATACAAGTAGGTGGGACATAAAGTAATATAAGTGAGACTAAAATGTTCTAAAATGTCAATAAAATACAAGTCGGTGGGACATAAGGTAATATAAGTGAAACTAAAATGTTCTAAAGTGTCATTAAAATACAAATAGGTGGGACATAAGGTAATGTAGGTGAGACTAAAATGTTCTAACGTGCCATTAATATATAATTAGGTGGGACATAAGGTAATGTAGGTGAGACTAAAATGTTTTAACGTGTCATTAAAATACAAATATGTGGGACATAAGGTAATGTAGGTGAGACTAAAATGTTCTAACGTGTCATTAAAATACAAGTAGGTGGGACATAAGGTAATATAAGTGAGACTAAAATGTTCTAAAATGTCAATAAAATACAAGTCGGTGGGACATAAGGTAATGTAGGTGAGACTAAAATGTTCTAACGTGTCAATAAAATATAAATATGTGGGACATAAGGTAATGTAGGTGAGACTAAAATGTTCTAACGTGTCAATAAAATACAAGTAGATGGGACATAAGGTAATGTAGGTGAGACTAAAATGTTCTAACGTGTCATTAAAATACAAGTAGGTGGGACATAAGGTAATGTAGGTGAGACTAAAATGTTCTAACGTGTCATTAAAATACAAATATGTGGGACATAAGGTAATGTAGGTGAGACTAAAATGTTCTAACGTGCCATTAATATACAATTAGGTGGGACATAAGGTAATGTAGGTGAGACTAAAATGTTCTAACGTGCCATTAATATACAATTAGGTGAGACATAAGGTAATGTAGGTGAGACTAAAATGTTCTAACGTGCCATTAATATACAATTAGGTGGGACATAAGGTAATGTAGGTGAGACTAAAATGTTCTAACGTGTCATTAAAATTCAAGTAGGTGGGACATAAGGTAATATAAGTGAAACTAAAATGTTCTAACGTGTCAACGTTTCTAACGTATAAAAAAGTTAAAATATATACTTATCAAGATAACAATTTAAGATAATATTTCTGTATGTCTGTATTTGTGCATATTTCATCAACAACCATATTTTATACACTAACACTATTTTATAGTCTAGGTAATGTAGGTGAGACTAAAATGTTCTAACGTGTCAATAAAATACAAGTAGATGGGACATAAGGTAATGTAGGTGAGACTAAAATGTTCTAACGTGTCAATAAAATACAAGTAGATGGGACATAAGGTAATGTAGGTGAGACTAAAATGTTCTAACGTGTCAATAAAATATAAATATGTGGGACATAAGGTAATGTAGGTGAGACTAAAATGTTCTAACGTGTCAATAAAATACAAGTAGATGGGACATAAGGTAATGTAGGTGAGACTAAAATGTTCTAACGTGTCATTAAAATTCAAGTAGGTGGGACATAAGGTAATATAAGTGAAACTAAAATGTTCTAACGTGTCAACGTTTCTAACGTATAAAAAAGTTAAAATATATACTTATCAAGATAACAATTTAAGATAATATTTCTGTATGTCTGTATTTGTGCATATTTCATCAACAACCATATTTTATACACTAACACTATTTTATAGTCTAGGTAATGTAGGTGAGACTAAAATGTTCTAACGTGTCAATAAAATACAAGTAGRTGGGACATAAGGTAATGTAGGTGAGACTAAAATGTTCTAACGTGTCAATAAAATATACAAGTAGGTGGGACATAAGGTAATGTAGGTGAGACTAAAATGTTCWAACGTGTCAATAAAATACAAATATGTGGGACAATAAGGACATATTTTATACACTAATACTATTTTAGTCTAATGTTATAAATACCACTTAAAAATTAAAAATTCAAAAACTGACCCTTAAATATTTAACACTAATATGAGCTAATGCGTGTCAAATGCTCTACATCTATGGTCACAGGGCACCGGGAGGTTAGATACTTATGCTAAATTTTTGACGATTTTGATGAGGATGATTGCCGATTGATATCAATTGATTGGTTACTGGCTATTGTTGTTGTTGTTCTCTTTAATTGGTCGGACAACAACTGGTTTGTTGGCAACAATTGGTAACTTTGCCGGCTTCGGTAGTCGAGAGATGTTCGTCCGAAGCAGCAGCCGCCGATTTTTCATCAATACTATGACCATTTTCTTGTTGTACATTATCGGACGACTCGTTGACCGCCGCCGCCGCCGCCGAGTCATCTCGTTTATGACGACGACGTAATAGTGGTCGACGACGATCACCGCTATACATGTCGTCGTCGACGCTGACGGCAGCGCCTATACCTTCATAGCCATTGTAGCCATACTTGTCATTGACAACAACATCGTCATCAATGTTGTCATACTTATCTTGAGTATCGACTAGCGATTGTTGTTGTAATCCCTGTCCTCTTTCCCTGTCATCTCCTTCTAGTCCTCCACTTATATCTCCCCAACCCATAGCCTTGACTATCCCCTGGCTTTTTGATGGATATAATTCGCTTTTATCTATAGTCAGGCAATAAATAAAATAAAAGTATTTTTTTGTTTGACTACCTCACTCCTCCCGAGAGGTTGGGTAACTAAGTTACATATATTTATTATTTGGTTTATTTAACACCATACCGTGTTTGTAGGGATGACATACCAGACCAGTGTCACAGTTAAACTCTATGTTACGATTGATTAAATTACTTTTCGTACTGACCTATTATTATTATTAACATTAGATTGGATAGTATAGTGGATAGTAGTGGTACTACCTCTCGATATTATGCAACTGTCGCAGCACTGGCAGCCCTGGGTCTGACTTAGTTTATCGACAAACAATCCCCTAAACTCCTGGCACTCTTGTTGGGTGATCTCATCGTTGCACTTGATTTGTCCGCAATCGCACACAAACATCGATCGTATCATTTGGTTCAGTCGTTCCCTAAATGTCTTACCATTGCGCGGCTTCATCAGCGACTTATTCAAAAATATCTCTACGTGTGGTTTCTCTGAGGGTGTGGTGTGTGTGTGTGTGTGATAAAACCCGATTGAATATTAATTTAAAATTCATATTTTATATAAAAAAAAATTTAACCTAAAATATCCCATACCTATGCACACCTGCTGATGGCCAACAGTACACTGTAGGCCAGTGTCGCAGCGGACCACCAGTTGTTTGTTGTGATTGTCAATGGGTTTACAACTTTCATTCAGCTCTGAGAAGTGTTGACAACAAAAATTGTTTTTGTAAAACAAAAAATATTAATAAATAATTTATTTATTTTTGTTAGGAAAAATTTTTATACTAATTATAATAAAAATAAAAATTAATCTAATCATATATATATATATATATATCAGTGTTAAGTAAGGGGGGTAGTGGGTAAGGCCAAAATACCCCCCTAAAATCGAGATTTTGGGATTTTACCCCCCAGACTTTTTGACCAAATGGGGAAAATTGTCGCTTAAAAACGAGGAGAAATGACCCCCCTAAAAATTTTTTTTTAAGTTTTTAAAAATTTAAATTTTAATTAAAACTATTTTAGTATGTGTTTTTGTTTTTAAAATTTATATGAATCTAATATTGATTAAAAATAAGTAAAATAGTTAAAATGATGTTAAAACTCATCTAAAAATAACATAATTTTAATTAAAATATTAAACTAAATAATTAAAAATTACCCATTTGCTGAAAAGAGTAATCATATTACAATTTAAATATAAGTTTAAAATAGTTTAAGAAGTTAATAAAGCAATAAATACTTATATTACTAGGTTTTTATTAATATTTATAATTTTAACTAAAAAATTTAAAATATTTTCATTTTATAATTAGTATTCAGTCAGTATTTATATAAAAATAACATTAAAAATAAAAATATATATCTATAAACTGTAAACATTAAGTATTATTTAAAAAAATTAATTATTTTAAAAGTTAAAAATTACTAAAATACTAAAAAACTCAGTGTATCATTAATGTTTTATCAACTATTTTTAAGTATTAAATACATTATTATTTTATTTTTTTGTAAAATTTAAGTTTTTATAATTTTCAAATTTTAAAAAAAAATATTTATTTTTTGTTCAAATTTAAGTTTTTGTTAATTTTTAAGTTTTTATTTTGTATTTTTGGAACTTTTACCTATTTTCCTGGGAATTTATACGGGAACTTATGGGAACTTTATCGAATTTATATGGCAATATTCGGGAATTTAAGGGAATATTAGGGAATTTTCTCTTGATCCCCCCTTGATTTTGGATTTTTGAAAAAATTGCCGTTTAAAAATGCAATAGAAATCTTACCTTACACAATATTCCTCCCGCCCCCAAGATTTTTCGAGAATTTTGAAAATTTCACACCGGTCTACCCCCTCCTAAAATAATATATATATTTTTTTTTAATTTAATTAAAAATTTTTAATTATTATTATTATATAATATTGTTATATAAATTTTAGTTTTAAATTTAAATACTAAATAATAATAATATATGCCGGCACCGATACCCGAACTCAAACCGGTTATCAGAGCTACCTTTCCGGTAAAGTCATATGTAACTGACATTTTTAAGTGTTCAATAAAATAATTTTAATAAAACAATAGTTAAAATATATAATATTTATTTTAAATATTTATAATAAAGATATAGTTAAATAATTTTTTAATAGAAAATTTTATTAAATTATCTTATTTAGTATACTATTATAGTGACTAAACATTATTATTATTAGTAGTAGTAATTAATATATAAAAATATAATATTAATATAAAATTTACAATAAATAAAATATTTAAGTTTTTAATAACAATAACAACAACAAAAATTGGTAAATAACTGAAAACATATACTTTAAATATTAATATTAAAAAAAAATAATTAATATTTATTTATTTTGTTTGTTTGTAACAACAATATTAATAATAAGTTTTATTAAATTTTATTTTCAAAAATTATTTTTTCTAAATTTAGTTAATCTATCGAAACATTAGCCGCCAGATGTCCGCCGTCGGCCACAGCAAGACTGCCGGTCAGAAACCCGGCCGCCGTATCACTGGCCAAATAGGCAACACAATTGGCAATGTCCAGACCCCGGCCAACTCTACCGACCGGATATTTGGCGTCGAAGGCTTCAAAAACGTGTCGTTCCTGATCGGGTATTGGCCTAAGCCGTACAGTCGGGTCAGGCATTATAGCACCCGGTCTATAGTGTTGTTGTTGTTGTTGTGTTATTAGGTTATATGTTAGGGTCGAAACATAATAAATAAAAAAATGATTATTAGATTTTTTTTATTGTGTTATTGTTATAAATGTATAAAATAATTAAAAATAAATAACTAAATACAGTATTGCATTGACTCTGATATGATGTTTGGGTCCCAACTCTGCGGCCATACATTGGGTAAACATATTGACCGCGGCTTTAGATATACAATCCGGTGATATGTTTGCAAACTATTTAAACAAATTAACAAAAAAAAAATAGTTATTTTTATTAATTGGATTAAATATTTTTTTAAAAAAAAAAGTTATAATTAGTATTTCAAACATAACTTATAAATACTAAATAATATTAATACAAACCGTTCGTTTAGATCCAATACCCGATATATTGATAATATTGCCCCGAGTTTTGGCCAAATATGGCACACATTTGTGTGTTAGATATACCACTGAATACAAGTTTGTTTTCATTGTTAATGAAAATATTTCCATATAATTGCTTTCAGTAATAGCGGTCATCTCAATAATGCCGGCATTGTTGACCAATATATCAATTTTGCCAAACGTTTGGACAGTCGTATCAATTAGACGATTGCAGTCCTCATCGTTAGTCAGATCGCCGACAACTTCCAGTGCAGTCAACTGTTTCGGTGACACATCTGTACACTGTTTGGCCACATTAGCCACACCATCGGCATTACGACCGGTAACTACAACATTGGCACCCGATTTGGCAAACAGTATAGCAATGCCGGCACCGATACCCGAACTCGAACCAGTTATCAGAGCTACCTTTCCGGTGAAATCATATAAAACTGACATTTTTAAAAGTGTTTTATAAATTAATTTTACTAAAACAATAGTTAAAATATATAATATTTGTTTTAAATATTTATAATAAAGATTGACGTGTAGTTAAAAAAAAATTATTATATGATATAAAAATTTTAATAAATTAATTTATTATATTTAGTATATTGTTATAGTGACTTAACATTATTATTATTATTATTATTATTATTATTATTATTATTAGTAGTAGTAGTAGTAGTAGTAGTAGTAGTAGTAGTAGTAGTAGTAGTAGTAGTAGTAGTAGTAGTAATAATAGTAATATTTAATATATAAAAATTTAATATTAATATACAATTTACAATAAATAAAATATTTAAGTTTCTAATAACAATAACAAAAATAGGTAAATATTTTTTTAATATCTAAAAACACTCATTACTTTTAATATTAATATTTTTAAAAATACTTTTTAATCTAAACTATATATTAGGTATAATTGTTACAATATATTTTAATTAATACAATATATATATATATACTGTATGTAAATAATTTTATCAATTGTTAATAAATGTATTTTTAAGAGATTTAAATTATCTTATTATTAAATTATATATTTTTATATAATATATATATAGTATAAATTTAAATCAATTCAAAATGTATTGTGTTTGAGAAATATAAACTATCTGTTCAATAGATTTATTCAAATAAAATAATTGAATTATATTTATTTAAATATAATTTATGTTTTTAAATACAACAAATTAATAAATTCTTATTATTTATTTATTTATTAACTTTATAATAATATTAATTTAGCATTTATTTAATTATTATTTGCTTACTTTCTTGATTTATTTATTTGAATAAAAATTAATTTTTATTTAAAATATTTTATTTTGTTTTATTAAATAGATATTATAGCTTATTTTGTCAAAAAAATAAATAATATTTTTATTACATTTTTATTTTTTTGTTTCTAATAGATTAAAACTTAATTTTATTTATAAATTATGTATAATCATAGTAATATTTTTAATTTGTTATCGTACAAATTAAAATATTTAGAAAAATATAGAAATTATATTTTAAAGATTATGCTAAAAAATTTCCAAATAAAAATAAATTACTGTACTTAATTACTATTTTTAATTTTAATACATAATTAATTTTGAGTAATTTTTAAGTAATAATAATTAATATTTGTCTTATAGTTTTCTAAATTAACAGTTAAATTATTTATTATTATGTTTGTAAACATAATTTTTGTTTAAATAACTAAATATGCATTATTAATTAGGTATAACTTTTAATTTATTTAATTTTTTTTGTTAATTTATATAAATAATTTATATAATAATTGCTAAAAATAAATTTTGTGCTTTAATATCATTATTAATGTGATTATAAAAATTGAGTACAAAAAAAACTATTACTTATAAAATTTTATCAAAAATAAAAAATTATTTTTAAAAAATAAAATAATTTTTATAGTTCATCTAGTCAAACATGTGAGTGTGTATGTATGTGTGTGTGTGTGTGTGTGTGTGTGTGTGTGTGTGTATGTATGTGTGTGTGTGTGTGTGTGTATATATATATGTGTGTATGTAAGTAAGTGTGTGTATGTATGTATGTATATGTGTGTGTGTGTGTATGTATATATGTGTGTGTATGTGTGTGTGCGTGTGTGTGTATGTATGTGTGCTTATGTAAGTATGTATATATATATATATGTGTGTGTGTGTATATATGTGTGTGTATGTAAGTAAGTGTGTGTATGTATGTATGCATGTGTGTGTGTGTGTGTGTGTGTATGTATATATGTGTGTGTATGTATGTGTGCGTGTGTGTGTATGTATGTGTATGTATGTGTGCTTATGTAAGTATGTATATATATATATGTGTGTGTGTGTCTGTAAATGTATGTAAAAGTGTTTTACCTTGACTTAAAATATTTAGCTGATTATATTAATACATTATCTATTAAAACATAGTAATTATCAATTTTGTAATAAAAAAACTGTTTAATAATAATAATAATAATAAATAGTAGCAAAATAGGATTTAGACTTTTGGCATTTAATACATAATTAAGTTTTTACAGTTTAGTAATTTAGTTTTTTAAAATTAATTTAAATTAGCAATTTATATAATGTTAATGAAAATTTTAAAACATTGCATATATACAGTATATAAATATAGATTAATAATATTTTTAACCAAAAAAAAAATTATACTTCTAGAATATACTGTATTAGTTATTTATAGCAAAATAATTTTTTATACTAAATTTTATTGCAATAAAAATTATTTAAATTTAGCAACTTTTACAAAAAATAAATAAATAATATTTTCTAGTATTTAAACTTTGAACTTAAACTTTATATTTATAAATATAATAACATCATCATCATCATCTTATAATAGGCAAATGATAAATGTGGCATGATTATTTTTTTTTTAGTAATAATTGTAATTTTTTTTAAAAGCATATTAATTGTACTTTAAAATTATTTAATCATTAATTTTAATTTTAAAGTGCAATGTGTTATAATATATTTTTAAAATCTAATATTATATCAAAATTAGCTAATTGTGAAATTTAAGTTAAATATATAAATATATATATAAATTATATATCAAATTGAAATTTGAACTATTTTTAATGTCTAAAATTAGAATTTTACAAAAAAATATATATACTATATATAGATATATATATATATATATATATATTATAATTATCATTTCATTTTTAGTTTAGATGACAACAATATTTGTTATTTACTGTACTTTAGAAAAAAATATAAAAATTTTTATTGTTTTGCTATGTCTCAAGGCAATTGTGGTATTGACTATAAATGTCTAATATATATATATATATATATATAAATTATTAAATTACTTATAATATAATTAATATCTATATTAATAAAAATTAGTTGTAGACTGTCTAGAGTCGGCATCATTATAATCAAACATTATTTTAAAAAAAAAATAACATTTAAATATATACAAAATTAAATCGTTTATTAAGCACGTGTTTGATGTCAATTGAATTAAAGTTTATATATATATATATGAATATTTATAGACACTTTTTTCAGACTAAACAAAATATAACTATTTATATATATATATATTAAGAAAAATATTTGAATACTTATTAATATATATTTTTTTAAAAACAATTATTATTATTTAAATACTATCTAAATATATACTGTATATATAATATAATATATACATAGCAACAAACTAAAATCATTAACTAATAATCTAATAATTAATTAAATGTTGAATATAGAAACATTAAATTAAATTAATTATATTATTAATAATTTTATATTAATTTTTAAAAATTAAAAAAATATTTTTGAATAACATGAAAAAATTTCCAAATAAAAACAAAAAATAATAGATAATTTACAATTAAATAATAATAAAACTAATCAAACATTAAAATGTAATCAAATATTTCACACACACACACACACACACAAACACATAACAACATCACATGTCTTTTAACCAAAAAAAAATTCATGAAAAAACATTCATACAAATAATAAATTAACAAAATAAACGATAAAAAAATTTTTTGGCTCTAAATACAGTAATGTATATTATATATTGTAAATAAATTAACTGTAATTATTTGTTACACTAATTAAAAAGGTTATTTTTTTTGTGTATAATATGATATTATATATATATATATATATATATATATATATATATATATATATTATAAATTGATAACATATTTATTATTATTATAAAAATCTTATTTACCCATAACCTTTAAACAAAAATATTATTTATTAAATATTTTTTCTATTGAATATAATTAACTAATTTAGGTGCACATTTTTTTGTTATTGTTATTTTTTGATTTTGATTAACTGTAGGCCCCCTTAATGATAACAAACAAACAAAAAATAAATGATTTATATCAAAATATAAGTAAAAGTGTTAATGAGATGAGAACCGGGAGATTTGGGTTATACCTAACAGAAAAAAAACATACGATTCCTTAATATGTTTAATATCATTGATGTGATTACATCTAAATGGTGTGATTTTTTTTTATAAATATTATATAGAAATTTAACATTGAAATCAAATACAGGGTATATATATATATATATGTATAAACTTATTATTAATAATAATAAATTAGAAAAATTTTATTTCGTAATTTAATTTACTATTAATTAATACTATAAATGTTTTAGTACTATACTGTATACTGTATAATACATTAGTTATTATTGTATTAGCAATCAATATATTTATTGTTTATAGTTATAATGATAATACTGTATATCAATATATAGATATACAAATTTTTTTTAATTTATAAAAAATATATTTTCACTAGTAAAAAACATAAATATCAATTTGTTTATTGTATACTGCACACTTTAATAAAAAAAAATAATGGGGGAGGGGTAGGGGGTAGAAAACACAAATTTTCACACAAATTTTCTAGATTAAATTATTTTATTATTTTTTTTAAATGGATCAATTAACTAACTGGGCTGTAATTGATAGATAAATTATCACCAACAAATTTTTTTAAAAAAAAATAATTAGCGATAAAACTATTGAATCAAAAATTGGCAATACTTTCACTTTTTTTTAATATAAATATTATCATATGTTTAGTCAAAAAAAAATTATATATATATGCCAAATAGTATTTCCTCAAGGATATCTAACTTAAGCTTTAACTAATCAATTGTCAATTTAATCTTAATTTAAAAAAAAAAAATAAAAACACTGAAAAATTATTATTTAAAAAAAATAATTATTAAACAAAACATTTTGTTGTATTTTTTTCCCTAACATTCATTTGATGCCTCTTCAAGACCAACATTGACGACATATTCAATGATTATTAGTATTATTATTATTATATAAAATATCAAATAATTTTGTTGTTGTTTGTTATCAATTATATATATTTTTTTATTTCTTCAAAAAATAATTCTCCTTTAGGTTTTAATTGCCAATAAAAATAACTTTAAAAAAAGTTAATAAAATAAAACTATAGTTAATAATAATAAAAAAAATGCAATTTAATAAATAATATCAATTTTTTTTCTTATCATTATTCCAATGAGAAAATCCTTCAAATTAAAATATATATCACATTATAATCAATTGAAAGTAAATAATAATTATACACAAAAAAATTTTTTAAAATGTTTCCCTAATAAAGTCATTGCAAAAAAAATTAAATAACTTTAAACAACCAAAAAAAAAGTAGATTACTATTTAATAATTATAATTATATAGTTAATACAATTAATATGAACATTAATTTAACTCAAATAAAAATAAAATATTGTTATTTAAATAAAATTAATAAAAAAATAAAATACTTTTTAAATTATGTTTTTATTATGTTATATAAGTATATTAATATTATATAACATTGAATTAAACTTTTATTTTATTTTTTTTTTGAATAGCATTAAATAAATATTATTTAATTAAATGTGTTTATTATTTTACATAATTGTTTTTTTTTAAATAATAGTTTATTTATTAGCGATATTATTTAACAATTTAAAAAAAACTAAAAAATTATGTAATTTTACAAAATTTACTAATTGAAGGCAAAAAATAAATATTTGAAACTAACTTTTACTATCATTTACTGTATTTTGATTGATGATAATTTACCGAAAAAATTTGCGAAATAAATTAAAATTTATTCATCTAATAAATCATTTATTGTTCAAACAAATAAATAATCAATTTATGATATATAAAAAAATAAAATAATATTGATATTAAATATCTATTAAATAAATATAATTTATTATAAAATATATTATTATAAAGTTGTGATACTTTGAATCCCTATACAAAAGTTATATTTAAGATATTATCTTATTATATGTTATTTATTAAGTAAATATTAAAAAATATTTTTTATTTTATTTTTACCCAAACATATACAGTATATATACAGATAGTGAACAAACTATTAAACAAATAGCAAAATAACTTAATAATTAAATAACTTTTGTTATTAGGGGGAGACTTAACAACAAAATTATATACAATATTAAATTATAACTATAAAATTGAAACATATGTTGAATATTATTATTATTATTATATTTCTATTAATAAATTGATGTCAAATTTCCGTAAACATAATACTTACAAAAATACGTTGTTGTTAAACAAGCAAACGGTTTGATATAATATAAAAATAAATACACAAAAATAATAAGATATTTAATATAAAATAATAATAATAATAATAATAAAGTGTGCGATAAATTATTATCAATATTATTTATTATTATAGTTTATTTTTAAATACATAATATTAAATATTTATGTATTTTTATAAATCAAATGCATTTTTTGCATTAAAATATTTATAATCAAATAAATCAAACATTTTTTTTTTATAATATATTATTTATTATTACAATATTTTTATTTTATTTATATGATATTAATAAAATAAAAAATTATTATATCAAATAATAATAATAATAATATCACAACATTATCATGTGCTGTATATATATATAAATATGAAAAAAAACTTAATAATTATTAATAATAATAATATCTAACATTATTTATATTTGTAACATAATATCAATCAATATAAATATTAAGTGAAAGAAAGAGAGAAAAAATTATAGAAAAATATATAATTATTTAAACATAAATATTAAATAAAACATAATATTTCTTTTAAAATAAAAGTCATATTACGTAAAAAATTAATTAATATAATTATTATTTTTAAAAATAACAATAGTTTGTATGTATTTATAATATGAGTATAAAGTATAGTATATTTATATATAAAAAAAAATATTGTCATAACTATTGTAATGTAATAAAAATAAAACACAATAGCTTTCATCACACAAACATTTATTTTTGGAGGACAGTTAGGTTTTAGTGGTGGTGGTCTACGGGTATGACTAACCCGATTTTTAAAAATATTTTTGTTTGTTTAGTCAATCAGGTATTCAATCACAGACTTTTTGCGTTGCCTTTGTTGATAGCCGTCACCGTCACCACCGCTGACACCGCGTAGTCCGTCAGTAGTGGACACAACTGACAATCGTTTGTTTGGCGACAAACGGCACTGATCTTCAATAAGGCCATCGTCTTCATCGTCGTCTATAATCAGTTTTGAACTCCTGGTGGTAGTAGTAGTAGTAGTACTACCGGTGCTGTTGCTGATAGTATCGGCATTATTATTATTATTATTAATGTGCTGTGACTTGTGCGATGATGAGCGCCTGGATGTCCTATCGAGTTCGCTATCTGGTTGTATATTGAAAATTTCGGTAACTTTTACCCGATTATTTTCATCGGTATAGTAGAAAGCCATCAGTGCCTCTTGAGTTTGTGTCAGTTCAATCATTTTGTCGATATCGTTGGTCGTCGAGTTGCCGTTGCTGTCGGTGTCATCCGAATCGCCGCCAAAATCCCGATACTTTTGCAGACACTCGCGTTCCCAGTCCAGCGCTTTGCTGGCAATTTCGATGGCGTTTGCCTGATCCAGACTATCGATGTGCCGCAAAGCGTCCAACATTTTACTTTCGCTTGAGGCCAGAGAGTTGCTGCTACTACTGCTACTACCGGTAGTATTGTGGTTCAAATTGGGCGTACTATTGGTCAGTCCTCCTCCTCGGACACCATTTCCCCGATCAACTTCATCAGCTGCTGTTCCTTCTCCGACTCCATTACTGGACGTTCGTCGCGACTCTAAGTCCAGTTCATCGGACTCGGACTTGTTATTCGACTTCAAGTCGAAACTGAATCCAAAGTTCATTTTCGATATGACCCGTTCGGGTGGCTTCACTATCGGTGTTATCATTTCGATCATCGATCGGCGTCTATCAATTGGCCACTCGTTATTCAGCTGATGATTACGGTGTGACCGTTGGTCGTGATGACCGGCGTACGACTTGCGCTGAGCAACATATGCCGACTGTTTCTGTAGTCGTTCCAATCGTTGACGGGCTTTGACGGCCATCAACTCCTGAGCACTGGTAGACATAGCTGAAGCATCGCTGGTATTAACGGTAGTGGTGGCGTACATATTGCGTTTGCGGGAAACACCGGCTGTAAAACTGTGCGCTTTTTCCAGTGTAACCTTTCGGTTGGCCGCCGCCGCCGCAGCAGCTGCTGCAGGTGTTGTCGGTGTTTGTGATGTCGGATTCAGAGCAGCACTTAGTTTACGTTTGGCCGACGAAATGTTTGGCACTTTCATTGTCGACACTTTCCGATGAGTAGTAGTGGTCACAACTGGCTGCTGATGAGCGTACACTTGTGGACTATCTTCGTGCGAGTAGTCAAATTCGGTAACGGCCAGCTGGCAGCTAAATTTAGCCGAATACTGGTGCCGTTTGCTTTCCATTTTGACCACCAACGACCTCAAGAAGCTTAATAAGTTGAACAGCGATGTCTTCAATTCGTTTTTAATGGCCGGCACCTGTTGCCAGACTTTACAGAACAATACAATTGTAATATCGATCGGTAGCAGATAGGGTATGGACAATAGGGATAGTAGTTTCATAGGCCGGTGCCTGAATATCCAATTGATGACACCTTTGTTTACTTGATCGCATGCCTCTTGTATTGCTAAAAACATTGCAAAATATATATATATTAAAAAATCACAATTAATTGATATGATTAGGTGATGATAGGGGGGAGGATAGGTCTACAAAATCGATACATACCTTGTACAACAGCATCGGGAAGTGAGTCAAGTACGGCAATCTGTCGCCTATATTGACAATCGTTGCAATTCATACAATTGATTGCCGAATGATGTTGACTGTTGCTGCCGTCAGCGCCACCGCCGGAGCCGCCGTCATCATCGGCCACCAGACAGGTATTGTTTTCATAACCGGAATCCTCCGAATCTATCTCTTCGTCTAGTTCTTCATCATCATCGGTGTCGTCCTCAGTGGCCAACGTAAACGACGACTGTATGGCCAGACATCGAGTACACGCTATCTTATCTGCGATAGGAAAAACAATAGACAGACACAAAAAAAACAATTATTAAGGTTTTTTATGGTGGGGAGGGAGGAAGGGATGGGGTAAACAACTTACTGTTTCGTTGTAGATAACGTAGTGCATCGTCGAAACCTTGTTGGCACATCTGGGACAGTATTTCCGGATGTGCAGGAAATAGTATACGAGTTAGTCGATAGAGATTAGATGGCGATACCGATATTGATGTGTTGACCAGATTAACCTGATACGGATTGTACGTATCGTCCAGCGGACAGATATCCGATTCGCCCGAAAACGGCGACACTGTTATAGTATTTTTGTCGATTATGGGTAAGTTATCGCTTAGGCCGCCGTCCATGTAGGCTATGCCGTGAAATTTTGGCGGTATTATACCCGACCAGAACGGGATAAAACAGGAACATTGTATGGCCTATTATTTTATTATTAATTTTTTTTAAAAAAAACAGAGAAAAATGTGTGATTAAAATAGGGCTATTATTTTTTGTTATTTTTTCTTAAAAATAAATAAATATATTTAATATCTAATTATATTATTATTGTAATTGATATCAAAAGTTTTAATTTTAATATATAACTGTATGTAGTATTGTTTTATTATGATTATTATTCATAAAAAAATTACTACTAATACTATTACTATTTATCTATCTATCTATAACTACCGGTACTATATATTCCTATATTATATATATATATATAGTAGTAGTAGTAGTAGTAATAATAATATAATTTAATACCAAGTAGTATTTACTCAATTGATTTTACCTTGAAACAATCTATAAATATATAATTATATATGCGCATATATATATATATATATATATACTGTCACATGCTATTTATTATTATTATAGTATAATAAATAAACTTAAATATCTATAATAAATAAAATTATACACAAAGTATATGACATAGATAAAAATAATTTGAATGGGAAAATACCCCACACATACATACATAATAAAAATATACCAGTAGTAGTAGTATTAGTAATAACAATAGTAATAGTAGTATTAATAATAATAATAATTAAGATTGTACCCGGATTATTTTTTAATAGGGTACATGTAGTAGGATAGGGTTGGGTAGGGTACAAATTTATTAAATCATCTAAGGGATGTAGTAGTAGTAGTAGTACCAAGGTTAAATATGCTATTGTTTTGTAAAAACTACCAACAACAAAAAAATTATAACAAAAAAAAACAATATTATAGTATAATTATAGTTTAAACTAGTAGTTATAGTTTAATTACACTGTTTTAAACATACAGTATAAACATGTATACACTTAATACACTCAAAAAAAATTATTAACTAACTAACTAACAAAATAATGTATATTAATTAAATCATATAATATATTATAAAATCTAAATATATATTAAAATATAACTACCGGTAATATATATAACATCTATTAGATAACCAATTATTAATTAAATATAAATCATAAATCTATTAAATAAAACTTATACTATAATAATTAAATCATATATTAAAATTATAAAATAACTAAACAGTAATTATATAACATCTATTAGATAACCAATTAATTAATTAATATAATATAATAAATCATTAATTAATTAAACCAAACAAACAAAACAAAAAAAAACTTTAACTAACTTTTATGAGATCCTCTTTGCTATCAAATTGGCTGATGAGTACATTTTTACCGTCGGACACACGGGTCATACTGATCACCAGTCGGCCATTGACTCGTTTGTGACAATCGTCGGGCAGGGTTTTGACCAGCGAGTCGTGTATAATCTTATTGACGTCGAAACTCGGATGAAACGGACCCAATGCACGGGCACGGGCTTTGATGGCCACCGACAATATTTCGGATGTACTTTCGCCCAGTGGTAGCCGTAATACAAGTGCCATAGCGGCCAGTGCACCGGCCGATGCACCGGCAACCAGTGTCTGATTGGTTAGCGGTGCGTACTGTCGGAAACAGGTGGCCACACCGACATGATAGAGACCGAGAAAGCCGCAACCGGCAAACGATATGGACATTTGGTCATTATCGGCGGTAACCATTGTGTTTGTCGGGGGAGGGTTGGGGGTTGAGTGGGGGGGACCGGTAGGTCAGGTTAGTTAGTATAGGTGCTGCTGATGGTGTCTATGTGTGTGATAGTAGTAGTAGTAGTAGTAGTAGTGGTCGGTGTCCTTCGGGAAACTTGGATATCATATATCATATAATATAATAAGTTATGATATGTTTTTTAATTAACACTTTTATATTATATTATAATTAATTAATATTATTATGACATTCACTGTTTGTTGGGTTAAAAAAGTTTTATTTTATTTTTTAAAATAAATATCAATTATCATATATGTATGGCCTCTGAGATTATGTGAGGTTATATACTGTAGTTAATTATAGTTAACTAATATTTGTATTTTTTAAAAATATTTTTATCAATTAAATTAAATAAAACACAAAACTTTTTTTTTCGTTATTGGTATTAATTAATATATATATTCATTAAAAAAAAAAATCATTTACTATATATGATATTATTTAGTTATTTTCGTGTAAATAATAATATCATATATTATTAATAATAAGTTTGTTGTTTAAACAACAAACACATACACTGAGAGAGAAAATATTAATGATTTTTAATTAATTATTAATTTATTATTAATTTAAACAGTATTATGAATCATATAACAAATATAATATCAAAAATTATTATTATTATTATTATTATTATAAATTTCAAGTGTTTTTTTTGACTATCATATAATAGGGCACAACATTAACTAACTAACTATACTATACTGATAGTCAATTAAATACAAACCAATATTATATATATATATATATATATAATTAAATATTATATTTAAAAACTATTGATTACACCAACAAAAACGTTTAGATAACTAAATATTTAATATTATTATTAATAAAGTTATGAATGTTTGATGAAAAATACATTGACTTTAATTATAACTTACTGTACAGTAATTAAATACTACAGTATATATCGATATATATATATATATATACAGTACAAGTGTAGTAAAGTTTTTCACATTTGTATAATAATTATTATTATTAAACCAATAACGACAACAAAACTAATAAAATTTTTTTATTTACATTAAAAATATCAAATAATTTATTTGATAAATAAAAATTTATATACTGTATTAAGCAATAATATACAGTACAGTATAGATATACACACACACACACACATACATACACTCTGTACTGTATATTCATATAATTATTGTATAGTATTTATATTACATATACACTGTTAGATCGTGTGTTGTATACATACACAAACACACACTGTATTAGTCATATGTTGTATGATTTGTTGTGACAGTGATATATACACACACATAGTATTGATATACAGTATTGACTGTATATTATATATTACGCGTGTATGACGTTTGGACATAAGGCCATTGATATGGCAGCCAATCAGCGATCAGATCCAATATATATTTCAATGTTTTAAATGTATACTACATGTACATCAAATTATTGTACATTGTACATTTTTTTATATAAACATAAATTACGTTTACAATTTTTTTTAAAAATGTACAAGTATCTATAAAATTAATATTATTAAAAAAAAATATTTATATAGACGCCTCCTATTAATTGAAAATGTTACGATTTTTTTGTAATTTTATTTTATTTTTAAACAATATTTGTATGTTAAATATTGTTAATTTAATTTTAAATTTGATGATGATCAATTATTATTATTCTAATATATATTAATATATTTTTTTTTTAAAAATAATATAACTTCAATACAGGAAGTAATATAATAATAATAATAATAGGAAACTTTTTTAGTATTTAATAATTTTAGTATTTTTACTATAATATTAATGTAATAACAAACAAAATTAAAAATAGTAACTATTATTTAATTAAATAAATATATAAATAAATTATATACCATATGATAGGACAGTTAGTTGTTTTTGTGATAATAGACTCCTCGGGGTTATAGTCAATACGCTGTCTCAACGAGATTACCCCCTCCCCCGCCCGGCCCGTACCTTCACTGGGTTACACCACCTGCAGTTAGTCGCCTTTAACGGAATTTTTATCGGTATCGCCGCCGCCGTCGGCCACAACGGTTATTAGCGACCACTTTATGGCCAAACCTCTAGTGCAGGCTATCTTATCTATACATATATATATCAATAATTTATTTTCATATACATTATAATATATCAATACAATTACTACTACTACTACTATTGCCCCCCCCCCAAAAAAATACCCACTTTTTTGTCGGAGATAACGGAGCGCATCATCGAAACCCTGTTGACATACACGCGATATGGCTTCGGGATGGGCGGGAAATAGTGTACGTATTCCGCGGTACAGATTAGTCAACGTTAGGGAAAAGTTGGCCATATTTAGACCATACAGACTGCTATTATTAGTTTTGTTGTTAATGTTGTTGTCGTCCATGTCGTCCAACGGACATATATCCGATTGGCCAGAAAACGGTGTCACAGTTATTGTGTGTTTGTCAATGACTGGCAAGTTATCGGTAAAACCGCCGTCTATGTAGGCGATACCCTGAAATTTTGGCGGCAATATACCCGACCATAACGGTATAAAACTGGAACATTTTATAGCCTATTATAGATTAGAGTATCGGGTAATAAAATGAAAACGTGATTAAATGGGAAAAAAAAGTTTATAAAAATTTTTAAAATAAAAACATTTCTCAGTTAAGTAAAAAATTAAAGTAAAATTTTATAATGACTAATAAATTTATCTAATTGTATAATCAAAAAATATTTTTTTTTTAAAATTAATATTATTAAATTAAATATTAAACATAAATTATTAAATTTTTTTAGGTTTATAAAAATTAAGATTTACATAATAATAATAATAGATAATTAAAAAATAAAACAATAATAATAATACTAATAATAAAAAAATTAATAATAATTTTTTGAACAGATATTTACATCAATGAGATCCTGTTTGCTATCAAACTGACTGATTAGTACATTCTTGCCGTCGGCTACACGGGTCATACCGATGACCAGTCGACCGTTGGCTTGCGTATGACAATCGTTAGGTAGCATTGAGTCCAGTTTGTCGTGTAGTATCCGATTGACATCGAAACTAGGATCAAACGCACCAAGCGATCGGGTACGGGCATCGGTGGCCACCGACAAGATAGTGGCCGCAACATCGACTAGCGATAAATTCAAGCACATTGATGTAGCGGCCAGTGCACCGGCCGATGTACCAACCAGTAGTGTCCGATTGCCGACGGGTGCATAGTTTTTCAAACATGAAGCCACACCAATGTGATAGAGGCCGAGAAAACCGCATCCGGCAAACGATATGGACATCTGGTCATTATTGGTTTTATTGGTCGACACCATTATATATATATATATATATATATATATATATATATATATATATATATTATTAAATATATGTTAAATATATGAATTGGTAGATTAGATTTTTTTTTTTAATAACAATATCACAGTTATATCATTAATTAATTAATTTTTTAAAAATAATAATAATTATATTAATCACTGTATTTGTATATATATTTTTATGTATTATTAATTATTATTATTATTATTTATTGCTTATTTAATTATCACAGGGGTTACTTAACTACTAATTAAATTAAATTAATTTTTTGTTCTCAATAAAAGTTTAATTTATTAAAATAGAGTTTAATTAATAAAATTATAAATAAAATTATGTTTAATGTAAATGTAATTTTTAAACTATAGATCAAAAATTGATACATCAAAATATTAAAGTTATTTACTGTATATAAATTTAAATAAAAAAAAATAATTATTTCATAAAATTAATAAATAAAAAATTTTGATTAAAAAATTTTATTTTCAAACAAATACATTGATATTTATAAATTAATTATAATAAATAGTTTCATTTCATATAAATTTTTTAAATATAAATACATTGACATTTACCGGTAGTGTCTATGTGTATGTGTGGATCATTTACCTAAAAAAATTATTATTATTATTATTATATCATTTCCTTATACGGAATTAATTTTTTTTATTGTAGACTATAATGCTATTAGAGTAATGTGATTATAATAGTATTTAAAATTAATATAAATTTATTTATTTTATCATTAAAAATGAGTTTAAATATTTGATATTAGTTTTTTAGTGATTAATAAATAATAATATTAAATTATCTAAAATAATAATAATAAAAAAATTTATAGATTAATTTTTAGAATAGTTAGAATACTGTTTTAATATTTTCAATATATTTAGTATAAATTTTTAAAAATAAATTGGCAAACAATAGCTATATTAATATGTTACAGTTTGCTATTGTTAAAATACTTATTTTTTAAAAATAATAATAATAATTAACTATAATGTAATTTAACATACATTTTATATCTAAAAAATACTATAGAATTTATATTAATTTTATTTTATATTTAATTAATATTATTATTAATAGTAAATTGTAAACATTAATTTAATATTATGGATATAAATCTATAAATTATTATTTAAAAAGAGTCAATTAATATATTTTTTATGTATGCAATTAAATAATTAAATCAAATACATATATCACATAAAATTATTGTTTTAAATATTTATTGTTGTTATTGTTGACTTAATAATTTAATTGTATTTTTTTAATACAATAACAAACATTATAAAGAATTACTAATAATATTTCATATGAAAAAAAATTTGAAAAATAAAAATAATAAAATTTTTCTAATATTAATAAACAATTTAAAAAAATGCAATTTTTAATCTGGCAATATTTTAATAGTATTTATATAATATGTTTGTAAAAATGTCATAGATGCTTGATTATACTAGTAATACTAATATACAATAATACTAAAAATTAAAAATATCTATAGTTTTATTAGCTATTACAAATATTTATAAAATTTAAAAATTATTTTTTATAATTTATTGTATTAATTAATTAATATTTTTTAAATAAACTATCAATATGTTTTTCAATAAATTTTAATAATTTATAATTGTGTGTAATATTTTTTGTTTAATAAATAAATAAATAAATTTTAGATTTAAAATTAATTTTTATTTAAAATATATTTTTTAGTAATATAAATATAATATACATTTATATAATTATAGTATTTTGTTGTAATGATACAGTAATTTGAAAAATTTTATAAATAATTTTTAATCACACACACAGTTATTGTAATTATAATAATAATAATTATCACAATTAAAAAATACACATAAATAAAATAAAAAAATAATAAATTAAATCACTAATAATAATAATTTTTAAAAGCTTTAGTTCAATAATTATTATTATTGAAAAATAGATATATTTATTATTTATAATCAATAATATTGATTTGATATCAGATTTTTTAAATCATAATTAAAAAAAATAATATTTAAAAATATTGAAACAAATTTTTTTTTGTTACAAAAAATAATATTATTTACCACCAAAAAAATATTTAACATTGCATATACAGTATATCATGGTTAACACAATTATAGATTTTTAAAAAAAAAAGTTAATTAAAATATATATTATTAATATTATCATTATCACTAGCATGCACACAATTTTATAATTAAAAAAATCAATCAATTATTATTTATTTGGTAACATGTAATTTATAGAGTACAATAAAATAGGTTAGCACTTTGAGGGCAACCATATAAAACACTAGGATGCCCAGTGCCAGATATATATAGTTATCGCTTAGATCGTAAAACGCTAGGATCAGTGATCGGTCCAAATTGATACCGTTTTCATCTTTGACTAGTGAACCGCCAAACACACGATACATGCGCTGCAAATTATACTCGTCCTCGTCGTGTTCATCCAGAAACAATGGTGTATCTCTACCCCGGAGCTGATCGACATAGGATGTTATAATCGGATAGGCTTTAGCCCACAGGGGTTTTCTAATGGTTGTAACATTGTGTGTGTCGAGGAACTGGCGATAGTCGTACAGACATCGGTTCAAACCGAACGTCGATATGAGCATCGCTTCGAAGGCAAATCGGAGGAACGATAGCCACGATGCCGGACGCATATAGGCTGGCATACGGTCGATACGGGCCAGAAAACCGCCAAACAATATCATTGGTAGGGGTAGTAGTCCGCCGGCAAATACGGCAGCATTCTGGTTGTCCATATAGATGGCCGAACAGCATTCGCCCAGTGACTGGGCCAGTAGGCTCAGGAGTATGGCTATGGTATTCAGTATTATAAAGCGATTGATTTCGGCCGGTTGGTTACTCCACCAGTAGGTTATACTTATGTAGATTAATGGTGTGATTATCTGTGTGTGTGTGTGAAAATAAAATAAATTTACTTTTAAATAATTAGGAAAAACTGTAACTTTTTAATAACTATATACTAAATATGAATATATATATAATTAATAACTAATAAAAATTAGATTTGTATTGTCTCTATGTTTGTTATAGAAAAATAACAATTAATAATAACAACGACTTTGAAAATAAAAACTAATTATTATTATACTTTATAATAAAATAAAAATTAATAATTAATTATTTAGTTTGTTTTTATAATTATAATAATGTTTTTTAATACTAATTTATAAACTAAACTTAATTACTGATATAGTTATAATTTTTATATACTTGTTATATTATTTTGTAATAATTAAGTTTATTTGATTTTTTAAAAACTTTTTTTAATTAAGGGTTACTAAATAGAAATTTTTAAAAATAATTTAAACAATTATATTTTTAAAATAAATAAATAATAATACAAATACTAATATACTGAAAAAAAATTTTAAATTCTAAATTTTAAATGCAATATTGTTTACTATATGAATAGATAGGGGAACGGTAGGTTATATAACGGTATAAACATGAATACAAAATACAAACATATATATATATATATATTTAAAAAAACTACCCATACCTGTAACGGTAGGTCTGAAATCATTTTGGCCGTATAATAGGTAATACAAGAGTACCAATTGTTATGATACTCTTTATGAAATACGTGCATCTCTTTGGGAAAGTTGAGTAGTGTTGGCGACAGTCCCGATAGGAAGCCAACCATAATTCCGAGGAACAGTAGGCAAACATTTTGCATCAGTGAATCCAAATCGTGTTCAAATTTTTTGGTTAACTCATGTACGGGTATAGAGTAGAGCTGTAGTGGACGGGGAGCACAACCGGACACTTTACCGATTTCGCGGCCAAACAATATCGATAGACCTATGGCCGAAAATATGGCCATAAATATGCGCAGAAACGTCAGAAACGGATCCCTATAGATAATCAATTGACTGCGCTCTAGCAGTATCGCCAGGTGCTTGATAAATGGATAGCTATAGTGGCGCATGGTCGTCCACAACGGATGGGTAGAGCTGTCGGTGACCAAGTGATCCAAGTCCTTGGTCTGGGCATCGCTAACCATACGTAGGGCAGGTTCGGGCCCATAATCGCCGGCCGCTAATTCAATTATATAATCGGACGGTGATGTATGTGTGTCCACTTGTATGCCCAGTCTGGTCATTGTTGGCACCAATTGACGTGGTGTTCCTAAGTAGTAGTAGTAGTAGTAGTAGTTTTTTTAGTAATAATTTTTTAGTAATTTATTAATAAATAAAAATAAATAAAATTAATTATCAGTATAATGTTACAAAAATAAATATATTAATATAATATATAGTTATTTATTTTAAAAAAAAATTATTTGAGTTATTTGATTATTATTAATTAATTGTAATAAGTTTTACTAAAAATATAACTATTGATTAATACTATACTATAAAACTCTAAATATATTTTATATAAAAATATTTAAACTATTCTAACAAACTATAGCTTAATTAATATGTTACAGTTGTTACTATTGTAAAAATATTTGATTAAAAAATATTTATATTAATAATAATCAACTATACTGTATAATTTTTATTATCAATTAATTTTTTATTTAATAATTATTATTACTATATTATTAAAAAAAATATTGTCAATTGTTTTTTTTAAAAAACATTAATTTAGTAAATATTAATATAAATCTATTGAAAAAATAATAATTTATAATGAGTCACTTAAAATAATTTTTGAGTTTATGAATAAAATTAATTAATTAAACCAATTTAATATCTAACAAAAAATATTGTCTTTTAAAAAAACAATTTAAATTTTGTTATTGTTTATGATTTTCATTATATAATTGCATTTTTATTATAACAATCTTTTTTTCAAATGGCTCATAAGATTATAAAATACTACAACACAAATGTATTATAGTATTATTATTATTACTAAAAAATACTAATACTATTAATAATAATGATTTTAAAAAAATTGAATATTAAAGATAATAATTTTTATTATATATATAATAATATTAATAAATAAATCTAAAAACTGTAATCTATTAATTTGGTTATATTTTATTACTATTTATAAAATTTGTTTATGAAACTAATTTAGTTTTGTATTTACTATATTTTTTATATTTTTAATATATATACAGTATATACTAATAATATTACTAATTATTACAATTATTATAATTACTTATTACTAATAATATTTTAATTAAAAAAAATTTAATTAATTAACAAATACCCTGATAGATACACTTTCCATTGTTGGTCAATATATAGGTTCGGTTAAACTTATTGAACAAAGCGACCGACGGCTGATGAATAGTGGCCACAATGGCTACCGGATTGTATCGATTGGCGGCCAATTCGTGCATAATTTCCATCACTTGCTTAGACGACGGACTATCCAAACCAGTAGTCGGTTCATCAAGTATTAGGATATTCGGTTTACTGATGACTTCCAGTGCAATGGACAGCCGTTTGCGTTGACCGCCCGAACAACGTTTGGCTTTAGTGTCGGCTATTTTTTCCAGACCAAACCTTTCCATTAGTTTGTCGGCAACTGATCGATGATAATCTGTTGATTGCCAATGATTGATGAGACGGGAGGCAAACTGAAAGGTTTCCCTAACGGTCAACAATTCCATCAGATAGTTGTCTTGCGGTACAAAACTGACTTTTATGTCGTCAGTACCACCTCTTACTTGAACTATACCATCGACACCGTGTTTGCGACGACCTGTTAGGTAGGTGTAGGTAGAGTGTGTGGGTGGGTGGGTGTGGGTTGATTGGGAAGGGTATGGGTGTATATATATATTAAAAGTATTATTAAATATAGTATATATATATATTGATATGTTTGTTGTTATTGTTAAGTTAATAAACTGCAATATTTCATAGAAATTAAAGTGTTTAAAAAATTAAATAAAATATAGCATATATTATATTATTTATCAATATTAAGTAACTATTATTATTATTATTATACATTAATATATATTAAAAATCATTTATTTTAAATTAAATAATTTTTATTTTTAAAATATCAATTATATCAATTATATTTATTAGTATTTATTATTTATTATAAATTTTTTATCTTAAGAAATAAATTAAAATTATTAAATATTTATATAATATACTGTATAATAATATATTTCTAATATAGTATATAATATTATTTTATCTGAATTATCTAATTTATATAATGTTAATGTATAATGCAATGTATAAATTATTAATTAAGTTTTAGTATATTTGATATTTATAAAATTAATTTTTAAAAAATAAATCAATAAACATATTTTGTAGGACAAACTTAATATGTATTATCTATAAACTGTAACTAATTAATAGTTATAAACTTATGAAATAAATATATTTTTTAAATATATAAATTTTAGATTAGTTTGCTTAGCAGAATTAATTAAATTTTTTCTAAAATAAATTTTAAAATTTTATAGTATTTAAAAATTAATTTGATTGAAAAAATAATTTTATTTCATTAATTGTTTTTATTTTTCTACATTAATCAAAAAATATTAGTTTCTAAAACATTTTATCATTAAATTATTGTCTAATAAACATATAAATACTAATTCATAAATTATTCATAAAAAAATATATATACATATTATAGATATGTAAATAAATTTATACAGAAATATCTATAATATCATTATTTAGTTAATCAATAAATCGTTAAATAATTACAAAAAAAACAAAAAACATTTACCGCTTATAATCTCCAATAATGTGGACTTTCCGGCACCGGATGGTCCCATAATAGCTGTTACTTCACCGCTACGGAAATAGCCGTTCAGGTTATGCAATATTGTCGGTCGCGACAACTTTTTGGCAAACAATGGCCTACGGGCTATAGTAAAGCTCAGGTTATGCCAGAGTACTTCAAAGTCACGTTTAGCTACCGATCCTTTTTGTTGGCCATCATCGTTGTCGTCAATACTGAACTGTTTGGCCGGCAATGCCGGTGCTTGTAGTGATTGATTGTGGTGCGCATCCGGAGATATGGACGCCACCACTATTGAGTTAACTGTCGGCGGTTGCGGTGCTGATGGCTGTACTGAAGCTACATGTTTATCATAAATACCGGTGCTGCTGTTATTAGTGTAGGCACCGGTAGTTTGAGTAGTAGGCATTGGTGCCACACGATTGCTGGCAAATCCATTACTGTATTGTTGGTCATCATTTAGTAGGGGTGGACTAACACGCATAGGTATTATAATAGTCTTTTCCTGATGATGATGGCTGTCCTCCTCATTGCTATCAATAATTGTATTATTAGTATTATAAACATTATTTTTATCGACTAAATTAGCAAAATTTTGGTCACTTATGGACAGTCGTCTGAGCGGTTGATTACTACTGCTACCAGTATTAGCGGTATTATTATTATTAATATTGTTTTTAGCAAATGAAACACTATTATAGACTACCGGTGCTATTACTACTTGTTTGCCACTATTATCTACCGAAGCTGCTCCCGCACTGGTAGTCAACTTATTATCAGACATTTTGAATATATATTCACTTTTTTCAATCTTATAGTAAATCATTATATATTATTGATAATAATAATAATAATAATAATAGATTGATATGAATGACCTAATAATATCCAAACAAAAGAAATTACAGTATTATATCAATAATAATAATAAAATATTATTAGATTATTATTATTAGTATATAAACCAAATAGTTTAATGAGATATTTATTATGTCTTTACAGAAAATAATATCTATATATTAATGAAGTATTGTTTTTCGTATATTTTATAAAAAAAATAAAATAAATTATTATTATTATTATTATTATACAATAATTTCTATGCAATTATAATATTATTAAAACTTAAATTATAGTCTATGTCTACATTTATAAGTATATTTGAACTCAACTAAAAATGATATTAAAAATAGTTGGGTAAATGTTTTTTTTTTGTATGTATTTTTTCTACTGTATTATTATATAAATAATTATTTAAAATAAAATGACATATATTTTCCCATAAATATATATATATATATATCAATATATACTGTTTATAATATAAGAAAAATTAAAGTTATCATAAATAATATTCCGTGTGTTTGTCTAATAATGTATATATAATAAAAGCTATGATAACTATAAAAAAATATTGTAAATATTCATTATATTTATAATATTTCTGAGAAATTTATAGTTGAGATAATTATTGATTTTAATTTTTTTTAATAATATACAGGTTTTTTATACACATGTATATATACAGTATACATACCATACAGTATACTAAATATATATTAAAATGACAATCAAAAAAAATAAATTAGTTTACTACTGTACTAAAAATATAATTTACATTAATATTGTCGACTTATAAATTGTAAAAAATAGTTGTAAATTATTATTATTAATAATACTTATTTAATTAACTTATAAATTAATTAATTATTTATTGAAAATATTTTTTTATAATAACAATTATTTTTCATAACAATTAATGCTATATTTATTTTATTTAATTAATTTAAATGTTTATATAATATTAATTAGATAATTATTTAGTATATATATATATATATAGTATATTATAGTATATATCTAAAATAAAATCATAAATATTAAGCTAAAAAATATATCAAACTTTGATTATTTGTTTTTAATAATAAAACAGTTATAGAAATACAAACAACTTTCAAAACGTGTTTAAATTATAACAATTAGTTTTCAATAATAAAAACGTATAGAAAAATTCCCAAAACTCGGGTTCGGTTCCCAACTCATCCTCTCTGAGATCCCGTTCCCTATGTTTTAATTGTTCGAGTATATCATTAAAATCTAGTTGACCAGTAATATATCTACTATCTAGTGCCCAATCTGATTGCTGATCAATAATCTGGGCACAGGTAGGTCTAGCATCATAGGAACCTTGCATTGTTTGGCCAACAATTTGCATTAATCGACAATATTTATCACTCCAATCATAATAATCGCTATATCTATCGCGTGGACTAATTAGATAAACACACACAAAAAAAATTAATAATATTTTAGTTATAATAAACAGATATATAACAACAACAAAAAATACAAACTTATTGATATCGGTGTCAAATAAATCGCATACAATAAACCCGATACTATAGACATCACCTTTAGCTGTATAGCATCCATCATAGGCTTCACGTGCCGTATACAGTTGAGTCCCGGCACCGGACAATAGTGTATCGCAAACGGTTTCATCGACTGACAAACCAAAATCGCATAGTTTGACAAACCTATTGTTTTCGCTAATATTTTGTCCAATCAGTATGTTATCCGGTTTGAGATCCCGGTGTAAAACTGGTGGCTGCAGTTCATGTAGATATCGGACACAATCTAACAGTTCCCGTAGTATTTCACACGACAAATAATACTCCATACATGTCATCAGTTCGCTGTCCGGTTGTCTGCTAAATACCGGTGCTTTCAATTGGATAACTTTTTTCAAACTTAGCGAACAGTACTCCATTGAAATGTATAAATTGTTTTTATAAAACCAATAGCTATAAACAGTTACCAAATTTATTGATGCAATCGTTAAGTTTCGGTTAGTTTTATTGACAAGTTTTTCGTACAATGGATTTGTTTCTATGGTTAACATATTGTTACAAAACAAAAAAAAATATTTTTAATAACTAATATATATATATCTGAAAATTAATTACATACTAAAAATATGATAAATTTATGAATTAATATATACAGTATATATATTTTTTAATTTAATTGAAATATTATGTATTACCCGATAATTTTGCAATTTTTACGGCTTTAATACTATTATCAAATTTGTCTCTGCATTTGAATACCGTTCCGTAAGCTCCCGATCCCAATGATTGTAATTCATCATAATATTGATAATAATCATTACGTATTATATCTTTAAAAAAAATAATAAATATAATCTTTAAATTAAAATATATTTAATAAAACACTAACCATTATCATTTAGCAAAACACAATGATTGTTGGCAAGTTTGATAATATTAAATATATGCACACAAAATTCAACATTATTATTATTATTAATAATTTGATCAAGCTCACTTGAATGGCATAAATTGTAAGCATAATTAAATTCATTGACATAACAATCAATATAAATTGATGACGATAAATTTTCATTATAATCATTATCATTGTTATTGATAATACTCATCAATCGTGATAAATAAATTTTATTTAATGTTAAACATTGAAGATTATTATAATTTAATTTATGTGAAACCAGTGAATGTATTACTGAATACTGTAAACTATGTTTTATTTGTTTTGGTTTACATTGTATTAGAAGTTTACTACTATTTTTATCCACATATTGGCCGCAAACATAGATATCATTTGTTGCGGTATTAATAAAAAATGTATTTCCGGCACCCGATTGTACGGATGTTATGCCCCGCAAATCGTTTATCAATTGTGGTCGACATATAATTTCACTACTAGTAGTACAACCCAATTGGTTGTTATGATTGTAACCCCAACTAAATACCTGTCCATCGCTGGTCAATGCAAACGATTGATGTTCAAAACATCGGACACTTTTGATACAATAATTACCGTTAAAGTCAATCAGTTTGGGTGTATTAATGTCCTCAAACTTAGTGTCTCGGCTACCGATTTGTCCAAATCTATTGCTACCCCAACCATATACTTCATGTTTATTGGTTAATACTAATATATGATACGAACCACAGCTGATATCGTCAACTAAAACATCGGTGCCATCAATCTGTACTATCATTGGTCGTAAATATCTAGCATTTACATCACTAGTAGTACAAAACTTTTTACTTATATCACCGCAAATATACAGAAAATTATCACTGGTTTTAAAAATTACAAACTTTTTGCCGTTAAAAATATCAGTGATTTGTTTGTCTCTTAACTCTACCAACTCTTGTGGTTCACTCACCCACTGGTTGTGTCCCAAACCCAGTGATCCATAAGCATTAGCACCTAATCCATGCACACGATTATCACTATTAATAAACAACATATTTATACCTAAGTTATCGTTAAATACATAAAATATTTTTATTTTAGAAATCCAATCAATAGGCATTGTTTTACTCATTATTTTGAAAATTTTTATTAAAACACAAATAAAAATAAATAAATATTATATTAAAAATAAATTATTATTTTCAATGTACTTCAGATTAAATACAAATTAAAATGAAATATAATTTATATTAAAAAATGTTGTTGTTATTTTTTATATATATAAAAAAATATTAAAGAGCCATTTTTAATGTTTATTACATAAAAGTAGCTAGTAACAATTATCTAATTACTATAGTGTTATAAAAAAACTTTATCTATATATAAATATTTATCAAATTCTAGTTTCTAGTAATAACTATAAAGTAATAATAATAATAATAATCAGATATTTATATATAAATATACTATTCAATCGACATTTAAAATTTTTTTCCTAACAAACGTATAGAAAAATTCCCAAAATTCTGGCTCCGAATCCCTATCTTCTATACGAAGTTCCCGTTCCCTGTGTTTGATTTGTTGTAGATTTTCTTCAAAATTGACATCACTTTTGACAACTGTACTATCGATTGCCCATTCATTGTATTGTTCAATAATTTGTGCACAGGTAGGTCTTTCATTATAAAAAGGTTTAAATGTATTATTAATTATATTTAATAATTTACGATAATTTTCACTCCAATAACACGTTGAATATTTATCAGGTGAACTAATAATTAAAAAATATTATAATTTGATATTAAATTTTAATATTTAAAAAATACAAACTCATTAATATCTGTATCAAACAAATCTTCAATAATAACACCCAGACTATAGACATCAGCTTTGGTGTCATAATTGCGACCACTTGTGACTTCGGGTGCCATATATTTAGAAGTTCCCACACCTACCGTATGACTCTGTGATAATTTTTCGTCAAATGTTATTAATTCAAAATCACATAATTTAACAAACTGTCCGTTTTCTATATAGTTGGCAATCAATATGTTATCGGGTTTGAGATCCCTATAAATAACCGGTGGTTCCAATTGATGTAAATATCGGACACATTTTAATATATCTAATAGTAATTCACAGGTAATATAATATTCTAAACAATCCATTGGTTCATCCAATTGTCTATTAAATACCTGTGCTTTCAATTTAATAGTTTGTCTCAAATTCATTATACAATATTCCATTGTTAAATAAATTTTATTTAAATAATACCAATGATTAAAAATTTTGACTATAAATTTAGATTTTATTTTTGGTAATATTTCCACATCCTTATTATAGTATTCTTCAATTTTATTATTATCTATAATAAATAATATATTAATGTTATCTATAAAATAATATATTTACTAATATATATATGTACAGTATATATTGTATACATAAATAGTAAATTAAAAATATTATAGTAAAATCCACAATACCAAAAAAAAATAATTATTAATTTCTTTTAATAAATATATTTTATACTATTTTCATTTTCATATCATGATTTAATTTTAAATACTATACTTAAAATATTTTTATACTTTATAAATATAATAATTTTGCAAAAACATAAAATATTTAAATAGGAAAAAATAGAATTTGTTAAATCAATTATTTAAAAAAAAGTAATTACCTTGAATAATTTTTATTTTGATAGCATAAATATTGTCATCAAATTTATCTTTGCATTTATATACTGAACCATAGGATCCAATGCCCACTAATTTTAATTCAACGTATTGTTTATAATATTGATTGTTAACAAACTCTAATTTTTTAATTAAAACATAAATAAATTTGTTAATTATAACTATATTTAATAATTTATTTATAAAATAAAAATACAAACCATCTTTTATTATAAATAATTTTTTATACTCTGATTGTATTTTACTTATACTGTCTGTGAAAATATTTTTTATATTTTTAAAAGCCTTATGAATAGCATTTGTATCATTGATTTTATATTTAATACAAAATTGGTCGACACTATCATCAATGGCTGAATTCGGTTCAATCATAAATCTACCCAATCGTGTAATATATTGACGAATATCAACATATGTTTCATATGATTTATCATTTTTATTTCTATCTATACAATCATTGTCACAATAGTTATAATAATCAAATTCCCAAATCATTATTGTATTCAAATTTAATTGCAATTGTTTGCGTAATTTAAAATTATTAATTACTTCGACACCAGTTTCACCACCAGTCACGCCCCATATAAATACCTGTCCATCACTGGTCAACGCAAACGATGTATTACGGCAACAGTGAACAGCTTTGATACATTGATTGCCATTGAAATCAATCAGTACGGGTGTATCGATGACCTCAATAGCAGTGTCTCGGCTATTGATTTGACCGAAACGATTGCTACCCCAACCGTACACTTGATGTCTATGTGTTAATACCAGTGTATGATCTGAACCACAGCTTATGTCGTGAACTAATGCATTGTTTTTATTAATCTGTACTTTCATTGGTGTCACCATCAATTGACCCACTAGTCCTTCGCTACCTAACTGTCCCCAACTATTATTACCGCAACTATAGACACAATTATCGCTGCTATAAAATACGGTAAACTTTTTGCCGCTTAGAAAATTAATTATACGTTTGTCTTTCAACATTGATATTGGTGTCGGTTTATTAGCACACATATCATCACCCGTTCCGAGTACACCGTAATCATTAGCACCCATACCATAGACTCGATCATCATTAGTGACAAATAGCATATTTGTATTGATTCCGTCAGTTTTAAACACATAGAAATTCACTATTTTCTGCATCCAATCGTCCCATTCATTAGACGCCATATTTTGTTTATTATAATTATTACTTTAATAAATTTTATTATTGTATTTTGAAAACACATTTAATAAACACACCTTTATTTGTATTTTTTATTGTGTTTTTTTATAAATAAAGTTATACTCAAATTAATATATATATATATATATACAATAATGTTATCTTTAGATATTTTTTCTTATCATTATGTTATCATTATTTTTATTATTTTATGTACAATTTTATATTATTATATACCTGTATATATACTGGTATATTATATATTCTAATTATACAATATAATAGTTATATTTAGTAAGTAAATTATGATATATATAAATAGTATTTATCAATCTTATAGTAGATCATTATATTATTGATAATAATACAATAATGTAATAATAATAATAATGATAATGAGTTTTAAAAGTTAAAGAGTTAAAAAGTTTTTTAATGGTATATCGATTTTTTTAGATTGAAAATAAATAATTACAGAAAATTTGTTTAGTTTTTTTTTTAAAAAAAAATCTATCACAAAATTTTTAGTTAATTTTTTGATTTACGAGATTTTAGCTGAACATCAACTATATCGCCATTTTTGATGCCCAATTCAATCAGGGACAGTTGTTTACTTTTATTGTTTTGTTTAAAAAATAATTGACCATTACTAGTTCTACCTTGTTCAAATGAATGATCTGGTTTATCATCTTTGGGTATTAAAGCATAAATTTGTTTAATAAATTCATTGATTTGAATTGATTTTAGTCGATAATGAAATCTTATGATTAACTATAGCATATTATTGGCGTTTAAGTGTATTGAAACGTATTTTAACAAATTCATCGACTAATTGAAACAAATTTAAAAAGAATTATTAGTGATATTTTTTTTAAAAAATAAATATAATATTAAAAAGAAAATTCAAAAATTCTTTAGATTTTTATTAGTTAATCCAAAGATAGGTTTTACTATTTTATATATATATGTAAATATTAATATATACTATAGTAGTATTGATTATATTTAGTTTTAACTAGTTAATTAATAATTAATAATTAAAAGTTTAATAAATAAACAAAAAAATAACATTTTAAATTAATAAACTTATTTTCTTAACTATTTACTATTACTATAACAGTTTAAAATGGTCTCTTAAAAAACGTATTTGATTTTAATATAATTTTTCAAATTATTTTTTATTTAATATATACAGTATATATATTTATTTACCTTTAACATCATTTTTATCGCAATTAGTATCGGTTATAAAAACCGATAATATAACAATTATTGTTATAATAAATAATTTTGACATTATTTTAAAAATAATTATTAACTATTAAAATAAATTGTAGTAAACTTTTTAATTAGAAAATATGATTTGACTTATTTTTAAAAAATAAATAAAATGTTTATTAAATATATTTATGATTATAATTTTTATACTAATAATAAAATAATAATAAAATATGTTTTTATTACAAAAAAAATTAATTTATTTATTACTTAAATTACATATTTAATTAAATATTTAGAAATTATTATTAAAAACAATAGTTAAATAATAGTTTATTTTTAGTTAACTATTATTATTATTAATACCACCAGTGTGTATTATATTATGGGTAGATATGGTAGGTATGCATTTGGGATAGTATTATGTTTGGGACAGGTATTACAATCAATTAGTTTATATATTAAATATCTGGATAAATTATACATTCAATTTTAAAAAATGACCAAGAACATTAATTGTTGATAATATTAAATTACAACATTATTGTAATTGATTAATTTTTTTTTATTAATTGTAAAACTAACTATATATATACAGTATAAACATTGACATAAAATAGTTAACTAGTATCTAGTTAATTTTACAATTTATTTAATAAAAGTGACCAATTACAATAATGTTGAGTATAATATTATCTACAATTAATGTGCTTGGTAATTTTTAAAGTAAATCTATGGTTTATTAGATATTTAATATAAACTAATTGATTGTAATACCTGTCTCTAACCTGAATACTCTCCCAAATGCATACCTACCATATTTACCCATACTTTGTACACTGAATACCACTACTAATGATATTTATTTAGTTTTTTGTGGCCTATATGTGGATAAATATTATATAAATATATTATAATAAATATATTAAATTATTTTTTTTGTTTGAAAATGTTTTATCTTTATTTCTTAATTAATTAGTAGATTTTTTTATAGTTAGTTGATAATAGTATTGACGACAATTCTTTTTGTTAAATATAATATTTTTAATAATAATAATAATATTGAATTTAATTTAAAATTATTTTTTGAAACTAGTTTTAAGTAAAATAAATAAACAATTTTCAATTATAATATTAACAATAGGTTTGTGAATTTTTGTTGTCCATAAAAACTAAATATTAATTATATGAATATTTTTTTTAATTAAAGAATAAAATTGTATAATATATTTGATTTATACATATATTTATTATATTTTATAACATTGATTTTTTAAAAATAAAATTATAGATATTAATTATTAATTTTTAATTTTTTGAATAGTATAACAAAATATTATACATAAATATAATTACGATATTATTTATTATATTTTGAAAAAAAACTTAATTATGTTAAAAGTAATTTTAGATTTTTTTAAAATTTAATATTAATTAAACAATTTGCTAAATATTAGAAACAAATTATGGCAAACAATTGAATATTTTAGCAATTGATTCGTATCGATGACAAACAAATTATAACAATAGAGACCAATTTCGGGCGCCGACGGCGATAGTCGTTCAATAAAACCGACTAAAACCAGTCTATCCCGGACTGACATAACTGTCCGCAGATTCATATATAGGCTGTATATCGGGACCAGCGGTCGGTGAGCTAAACGTTTAATACGTATACAAACTAACGATACGATTAAACCGAGTATGAAATTAAAACCACCGATAAATATCATCGGAAACTTAATAAATACATTGTATTGTCCATTAGTTTCAATGTTTTGTTGCTGTTGTTGTTGATGTTGTACTAAATAGATGACAAAAAACATTGTCGTAAACCATAGATAATATGTCAAAAATATTAGGAATCGTAGGTAACGGTTGACTGCATCACAATATTGGGTCACATACTGGTGCTCGTGAATAGTCCTAATTAATAATTTCAAAATAGTTTTATTATTATAATTGTTGTAACCATAATTAACAAGCAAATTGAATTTTGTATTAATTTCACGATATTTTAATATTAAATAAGTTAATGTTGAAAATAATTTAAATAAAATATACATGCTAAATGCTACACCATGTTGAGCAGTTAGTAGCACACAAATATTAGCAATAACTACCATGCTAACATTGATATGATCTAAATTAGCTAGATAATACATAATTGACAATAACATATGATACGAAAATATAGCCAGGTAATATTGATAGAATATATAGAATAGAAATTTTAGTAAATAATTCAATAGTTTTATATATCGTCTAGTGTATCGAGTGTTTAGTGGATATCGGAAACATTGATATTTTATAGCATATAAATATTTATATAATTTATAATCACTACTAATATCTTGTACTAACCAATTATAAATGATTAATAAATATATGGATAATATGATGGCTATAACAGTGGCTATTGAACCGCTCGGATCGATCATATGTATACAATCGCATACCAGTGCCTGAATAACATACCGGTCCTCTAGTATAACTGTGCCAATAATTACTAGTCTAACTATTGTTATGGCTATAAATAATTTAAATATAATTGATAGCAAACAATGTCTGGCATCTAATGGTTGTCTATAATGTTGTTGTTGTTGTTGTTGTTGTCCATCACTTGTTGAATAAAATGTTAAATAATTATTTTCGGAAAATTTATCAAAATATTGAAATATTTCATAAATATTTTTATATTCATAGATAATATGTAATTTAAATTTAATTATCATTGATTTTATATAATTAATTTGATAGACAATTAGTTTATAGATAAAATTATCTACTTTGTTAATTATGATTAACATATTTTTTAAATAATAATAATAATAATTATTAATTATATTAAACAATATAAATACATACATATAATAAAGTTATAATTAATACTATTAATTAATAATTTCAACATTATAAAAATTATATAAAAATTTTTATAATAAGGAAAAACAAAAAAATCAAATAAAAACTACAAATAATAATATTATTAAATAAATTTTATATAATATATTCAAAATAAAATTCACAATAAAATACTTAATTATTATATTTGAGATTAATTTATTGCATGTTATTTTATAAAAAATATTTATTATACATTTCATTTACTATAGTATAATAATAATCACAATATTGTAAAGTTATAATATAAATAATATAAAAATTATAATTATAAAAGTATCCAATTTAGATATAATATTAAACTATTATTTTATTTAATATAATATGCAATTACTAAAACTACTATATTTTCAAAATAAATATAATCAATTTTTAATTAAAATATATTTAGGTTCAAAAATGCTATTATTAATATAATACAGTAATATAATTGACTATTTTAATTCAATGATGTTATAACCTAATTAGCAAATATTGTATTAAATTATCATTATTAGATTTATTATTATTAAATTTTATTAAACTAAATATTGTATATAAATATAAATAAATATTTTAAATTATAATATAAATATAGAATAGTATATAAACTTTTACTAAAACAAAATCAAAAAAATTGTAAAATTATTAATAAATTTAATTAATTTAATAAATTATTTTTAACAACATATATAAAAACCATAAATTCATTACTTAGTTAAAAATTAATTATGTTTTATAATATATTAATTAGTAATAACATAATTATTTTTAAAATAGTAATTCACATAAATACAGTATAAATTATTGTTTGTTTTTATTATATTACAATTCGGTAAAGTATTTATTTTATTAATTTTTGAATATTTTTAATTAAAATAATAGTTAATAATACATTTATTTTAACAAAAAAATTATGATAGTTAAAAATTGTTAAATATGTAATAGTTTTTTTTTAAATAATAAATAATGGGAAAAAATCTCAAAATACTTATTAATATAAATTATTTTAACTGCGGTTCACTTAGATCTTTCAATTCAAATATAATATCACCTAGTCCAAAATTGTTTTTAATTTTACCTTTATTATTATTATTGAAATTATTATCAATATCATTTTGTTTAATAATTAAATTATCATTATAATCAAACATCTGGGATTGTTTGCTTAAAACATTATTATTATTATTATTATTTGTTGTAATAGTAGTAGTGGTAGTAGTACTAGTAGTAATAGTTGACCTGGCTAATAATTTACCTGGACTATACATTGTACTAACATTGCCCCAACATGTAGAATCGCATGTTCCTCTAATGGAAAACATTGCACTATTGTTGATGGCATCAACTTGGCTGACCCCACCACCACCACCACCACCACCATCAGCAGCACAGTTACCATTGGTAATTGTTCCGTATGTATAGCTAGTAATGATTGCACCCAAACATGGTCCATTAACTACCAGTCCCAGATCACTATATAGTTCAGTACCTTAGTATACAAAACAAACAAACAAAATAGATTAATAAATTAATTTGGAAACAACAAATAAAAAATAAATAAATATTAGCTAGCTAATTTAATTTATAATATTAGATTTTATTATACCATTAACATCCCGTAATAGATAACATGCGTTGATTACATTAAGTTTATGTTATGTTATTGTTATTGTTATTGTTATTGTTATTATTATTATTATTACTAAAATAATTGCCCAGTGCCGTATAATTAATTTGTGATTTATAAACACCGTTACAATTCATAATATCACGTTTCAAATTAATTGTACGACTAATTTGTTTAAAATGTGATTTATCATCGCATAGATAATTTGAAGTAAGCTTGGTCAATTGTTTTGGTTCAACTAATAATAATAAAAAAGTTAATTTAATAATAATGATTTATATTTTTATTAATAATAAAAATTTATATATTAAAAATATAATTATATAACTATACATTTTACTAATTTTATATTTGCAGCATTATTATCAATATTATTATTAATTTTTCGATTCAATGTAATTGCATTGTTAAACATAAACATTAAACTGATTATTATTATTATAAAATTACATAATAGAAAATAATTGCAATAATTCATAACTACTATAATAAGCCAAAAAAAATATTAGATTTATAGATATATATATATGTCTATTGATTGAATACATGAACTAAGCATATATTAATTTTATAAAATTAAAACATTAGTAAATATGCATAATATGTATAAAAATATGTTTAATTACTGAAAATTTTTTTAATAGTACATTGACTTTACTAATATATGAAATAAAATAAATAAATAATTTAAATATCAAATATATGAAAAAATTATCTACATGTGTGTGTGTGGTGTATGTGTTTTTACATATATAAGTTGATTATTTAATAAAAAAAATATTAAACACGTGTAAAATTTTTTTATAAAACTATTGAGTAATAATAATAAATATTTAAAATTGATTAAAAATTTTTATTACGATATCTTTTTTCTCAGTAAATATAAACTTATTTTTATCAGTTTTTTAAAAAAAAATAATAATAAATTGTTGTGAATGGTTATTAAATATTAGTAACACACTAATCATTCATTGATACCATTTTTTATTTAATAATATTTTTACAAATAATTTTTTTAGTAGAAAATAATAATATTTATAGACACAAGTAATATATAATACTTTTTTTTAAAAAATCAAATATTTTTTTAACAACAAAAAATTTTCTACATAATATTTTTGCATGTTAAGTTTAATACAAAAATTAATTTTATATTTATAAAAAATTATAAAAATATAGTTAAATTACTTTTAAATTTAATCGAAAGCACATTTTTAACATATTATTTATTAAAAATTTTTAATAATATTATTTATTAAAAATATGTTTGATAGTTGTTTGATAGTTGTTTGAATTTATTTTTATTATATATTTATTTTTAAACTATTAGTTAAGTTTGCTTAAATTTATTGAATTTTATATAAAAAAATTAATTATATTTATTTTTAAGTTGTAAAATATTATTAAATTTTTTTAAAAAAAATCTATCATTTATTTTTATTTTATATTAAATAAAACAATAGGTTATATAAGTTAATGGTTATCTTAATTAAAACAATATCATATTTTTTAAAATATTGCTTAGCCAGTCAATTATTTTTATAAAGTAATTGAACTTTTAAAATATCAACTAAAAAATTAAAAAATTTATTTGATAATGATTTATTAATTGTTTGTTTTATCTTAGAAAAAATGTATAAAATGTAATAATTTTTTTATATATATTTTATAACATTAGCATTACTAACGGTACTATCGGATTATTGTAAAAAAAATTTATTATAACAAAAAAATCGCTGAGAAATATATCATATGTTATACTATTATATAAGTTATTATCACATTTAAAAAAAAATTAAGTTACTATTATAATTAAATTACAATTAATTATAAAACCATTGTTACTAACTGTAATTTAATAATTTTTTAATAAAAAAATATATTTAGAATATATTGAGTTAAAAATAGTTTTTTTTTAAAAAATAAAAGTTATTTATAATGTTATTTAATAGTTTGATTTTGACATCAATAAGCAAATTAGTTAATCTAATTGATAGACTAACTGATCCCTCTATAGCCAACTGGTCAATGATATGTTCAATAATATTATCATTGACTATATGTTATCTAACATATTATATCTATAAACTTGTCTATGGATTTTCAAATGTTTTTAAGGTATATACATATATATCTAAATTAAAAAATAAATATTTATTTAATTAATTTTTTTTCATTTTATTAATCAATAATAATAATAACTAATATTATTATTATTGTTAAGGATATGTCTGACATAAAACTGGAAAAATTTTGTTCAACCAATCGTTCAATGGGTGAACGTCCGCCAGACTATCCAAACGGCTGGATACCGGTGCTCGAGTCCCAGGACCTGAAACCCAATCAAACTAAACCTGTATCGGCTTTCGGCTACGAGCTGGTAGTATTCAGGGGACCGTCGGGTGCCGTACACGTTATCGATGCATTTTGTCCACATTTGGGCGCCCACTTGGGCATAGCCGCCAAAGTCGGCAAAGGTCGGTGCGGTAACGATTGTATTACCTGTCCGTTTCATGGCTGGCAGTTCAGGGCTAGCGATGGTCAGTGTACTTTGATTCCCAATCTTAACGGTATGTTTGAGCTGATTGTAAGAGAGATACAGGTGCTTGAGATCTCAATTAAGTTATTTGAATACAGATAATGAAATCAATACAATCAATGCTAAGCTAACTGTTTGGCGTTGCATTGAACGCAACGATGTTATCTATGTCTGGCATCACTATGACGGCGCCGATCCGCACTGGGAGCCCGATATTATTAGCCAGATTGAGGACAAACAGTGGCAGTGTGTGGCCCGTACTGAGTATTCAATTGATTGTCATATTCAGGTAAAAAAGAAATAAATTTTTAAAAATATTTTATTGCATTAATTTTTTTTTTTATTTATTTCTATGTTTGTAATAATTTTTGTAAATTTATTAGTTAATACTAACAAAAACAAAAAGCTTAAGTAAAATTTAAATAATAATAATAATAATAGAAATATATATTTATTATTATTATTAATTAGCCTATTAAATGTTAATATTTACAACAACAACAAAAAACAAATTAATAATTTACAATTACAATAAATTACCAAAAATTAAATAAATAAATTATATAATAATAATATAGAAATTAAATTAAATAATAATAATAAAGAAAATAAATTAAATAATAATAATATAGAAAATAAATTAAATAATTATAATATAGAAAATAAATTAAATAACTATAGAATTAAAAAGTTTATTATTCTAACTTTTTTCTAATTAAAAAAAATTAATTAATTAATTTGCTAATTTGCTTATACTGTATATATCAATATATATATATATATATATATATATATATATATATATATATATATATATATATATATAGGAAATTGAGGAAAATTGGACAGATATGGCCCATTTCCCGGCCGTACATGTACCACTATTCTACCCGTACGACCAACTAAGCTGGTGGCAGGACCTACTGCAGCGTAGCATATCGTTTAACATACGTACCAATTGGACCACGGTCAACGAACCCGAACCGTACAATGCTATGGCATCTATCGATGCTCTGACCACTGTTTTCGGTTACGATACCTGGGCAATGAATTTCCAATTCAAACAGGTAGGTCCGGCAACGTTGGTTATCAGCTACGAAAGTCCATTGGCCGGTGGTGTYTCGGGTGCACTCATACAGTATGTCAATCCGGTAGCACCTAATAAACTGAGATTTATTTTACGAAACTACTGTAGCCAGGGWTTCAGGTCACGTATATTTGCCAAAGTGCTCAACTATTTTGAATTGTTTATGGTAAGTTTTTATTTTTTTAAAAAAATTATTATTAAAAATAAAACAAAAATTTAATGAAAACTATTTTGTTTCAATAATAAACAAAAATACTAAATTACTATAAATTTAACTAATATTATTATCAATTATTTTATTTTATTTATTAATTAATAATCACTTAACTACCTATTACTTTAAATTACTAAATAATTAGTAATTATTTTGATATTATCATTATCATTTTTTATCATATTTATTAATTATTAATCAMTTAACTATCTATTACTTTATTATTAKTAGTAGTAATATTAATAGACTACTGTACTATGAATACTATTACTATAAAAAAATAGTAATTATTTTATATTATTTTAAATTATAATTTTAATAATTTAATTTTTTTAAAAATATTTTAAAAAAAATGATATATATATAGATTGAACGTGATATGATTATATGGAATAATAAACGTTTTATAAAAACTGCCCGCTACACAAAACTGGACCGACCTATTGTCAAATTTCGCCGATGGTATAGTCAATTTTATGCCGATAAAAATTATAATGTTTTAGACTGGTAGATTTATCTTGATAATATAYTTTAATTATAGTTTTAATTTAATATATTTGTTTTTTTAAATAAATATTATTATTATATAAACCAAAATATTTAACAAAAACAACAACAACAAACATTTATAGTTTTTTAATTAATTTTTTTTGTTAAGTACTTATAGTTAAAAAAAAGTTATTATATAATTTTATAATTTAGTAAAATAAATATTTTTTTGAATTTTGAATTTATTTTTATTAAAAAATAATAATAATAAAAATATTGTGACAAATAAAATAAAAACTATTAGTTGTTAATTGAAAACTGTAACATAACTAAAAAAACATAACATTTTTAGTCGAGCACCGGGAGGTCAGACAAWGCACATGAATAATATGTCAATGATATAGTAGTGCTGACAAGTCAAAGTGCAGGAAACGGCAAACGGATCACTCAGTAGACGAGATACTTGTATTTCCTATGAGACAACATCAACGACATCACTGTCCTTAAACTGTTAGGATCTAACCAAACATACTCTTCCTCCTCTGTTATATCAATACTACATTTTTATATTAATTATTTAAAAATTTTAGTAATAATTTTAAAAAAAAATTATTTAGTACTTTTCAGTATATTAGACTTTGAATTAAGTTTTTATATATAGAAAATAAATTAAATATTATATTAATATTTTTTTTATAAATAAGGTATTTAAATGAAATATAAAGATTTTTTTAAATGGATAAAAACATATTAACAAAAAATTAAATATTGAAATTTTAAWATTTAAACTAGATTATTTTTTGAATTTTTTTTTAAAAATAACTAAATTAACATCAATATTCTAACATTTAATAGTATTTTTTTAAATCTTAAATTATTGTTATTAATTTATAACTTGTTTATTAAAAAGTATTATTTAAAAGTCAATATTTTTAAAACAAATAGTTTAATAGATATACAAACAAATATTTTTTTAGATTGTCATTCAAAACAAAAAAATATKAAAAATATTTTTTTTTAAATTGTCAAGTATAAGAAAATACAGGTCAATAGCACATACATGTATTACAGTAATATTATTATTGATATTATAGTATTAATATATATGACAATTAATAAATATTAAATAAATATTAAATAAGTTTATTTTAATAATATCATTAAAAACATTTATTTTTTWWAAAAAATAATAAGTTTTCTTATACTTAAATATTTGYATTTTTCAATTTTGATAAATATATTTTTTTGCTTAAAATAAATTTATTAAATTTTCTAWATTATAAAAATAATTTATTCAACTAAATTATTATTAAACTTTTTAAATTTTATCAAATAATTAAAACAATATTATTATTATTATTCACTAATTTCATTGATATATAATATTTTTTTATAATTTTTATTTTTGTTGTTAACCTTTTTATTTGATATGATGATGATATTGTATTAAATAAAATAAAAAATAAAAAATAATATTTTAATCCTTGAATATTAACATTACAATTGTTATTATAAAATATTATATTTATTTAGAAATATATAATAATAGGTGAAATAACACAACTAAAAAAAAAATCATTTTTACAAATAAAAACTATTTGATAGTAAACTATTTAAAAAAAAAAATAATTTTTAAATGTTTTTAATCTTAAGTTATTTCATAAATTAAATTTATATATGTATATAATTTTATAATATTAGAAAATAAACTATTTTTTAATTTAACAAAAAAAAATCAACAAAAAAAATGAATCTTCAAAAATATTATAATGAATTTATGATTAATATCAATAAATATATTTACTTTTTGGTATTAATGTATTTGCAACTATCGTATGTAAGTTTTGATTGTGTTTTTTTGTTGWTGTATTGTAATAAAAAAAATTAATTATTTTTAAAAATAATATYATATTATGATTTATACAATTTGTAAAAAAATATTAAAAATAATTATTTAATAGYTAAATAATAACTTATAATAAAATAATAATTATTATTTTTAGTCAATGAATCTATCATCCTATGGCACAACATTTGTTGATCTYAAATATATGTTAGACACCAGTATCGATAGGATATCATTGGTTATACTGTTTCAAAGTGTCGGCTTTTTGTTGGGCTGTTGCTGTTAGTATATAATAATAATACCGTTCCCATAAAAAAAATCATAACTAAATCTAAAATATTAATTGTTTTATTTAAAATTAGTTGGCTTTCTATACAAATGGCTTAACAGACAGCTAACTATAGCCATATCGGGYATATTGTTGGCAATTGTCGTYATATTGATACCCTATTGCGCTTATCTATGGCACCTGTATCTGTGCTCGTTTATCATGGGCATTGGCTACGGTGTCTATTTCAATAGTAATAATGTCTGGATACTTGAACTATTTGAAGACCGGGCCGGACCTATACTACAGTTGTCCGGTTTTGTGTACGGCGCCGGTACCATATTGGGWCCATTGCTCTATCAGCCCTATGTTACTGGTGAACTACTGGTKGTGCTAAGCGATAACGATATCAACTATGCCATCAATGTTTTAAATGGTACCGGTATACTGGAMTTGGCTATGAACTCTAGTASYACTTATTTTGTCGGCAATACCACCACCACCACCACCAACACAACTAYAACAGCAGGTGTCGGCACTGTTTACGATAGAGAAGCTGAAAGTATTGTACGGCGATCTCGACTTAAGATACCGTTTCTMATATGCGGACTCATTATCATCATTGGTATGTCATATATACAGTATACTGTGATCTCATATTTTGAAAAAAACTAAACTACCTGTGCGCTTGAAAACAAACAAACAAACAATGATAAATCATTTATTGATTGACATATATAAAGTATCTAAAGTTTATATATCCTATTTATCTATACATCACACACACACACACACACACACTAATTGACCAATTAAAATACATTAAAATTAAATACTATAAATTTATGTAAAGAAGTGTTTCATTAATTATGTCCGAGCGGTTTTCTAAATAACTTTTGATCTGGTAGAGTTAAATTATTTCTGTAAAAAGTTTATAATTAAGTTATTTACGCGTGATAATAACCACTTTTCATTTTTAAATTTAAATCACGTGATCACAATTTTAACGGGATGTCTGCAAACCACTATGTCAAAATCTAACCTATAAATGATGAGATAAAAATTTTATAGCAAATTTGTAAAGCTCAAATTGATAATTTATCGGAAGAAATAATTTTTGAAATTGGTCGAAGAATAAATTTTTTATGGCTTTTCGAACTTGTTAAAAAACACATTATATAAAATARTCGAAAATAAAATGACGTTATTTATGGATAGTAGACACTTATTAAATAAAGATTTTAATACTATTACTTTTTCTAAAAACAAAATTTTTTTATGTCAAATATTTGTTCAGATAATTAAATTACTCTAAAAAACGCAACATTGTAATACGATAATGTAATTTTTATTTAAATTTGATTATCTAAAAAAATATTCGACATAAAAAAATTTTGTTTTTAGAAAAAGTAATAGTATTAAAATCTTTATCTAATAAGTGTCTACTATCCATAAATAACGTCATTTTATTTTTGACTATTTTATATAATGTGTTTTTTAACAAGTTCGAAAAGCCATAAAAAATTTATTCTTCGACCAATTTCAAAAATTATTTCTTCCGATAAATTATCAATTTGAGCTTTACAAATTTGCTATAAAATTTTTATCTCATCATTTATAGGTTAGATTTTGACATAGTGGTTTGCAAACATCCCGTTAAAAATGTAATCACGTGATTTAAATTTAAAAATGAAAAGTGGTTATTATCACGCGTAAATAACTAAATTATAAACTTTTTACAGAAATAATTTATCTCTACCAGATCAAAAGTTATTTAGAAAACCGCTCGGACATAATTAATGAAACACTTCTTTATATATATATATATTAAGGCTCATCACTATTACTAGTACTATACCTGTTCCGCAAATACCGTATCAACAAACTGGTCATTGAACAGCAACAACAACAACATAACAACAAAACAGATAACAACACGGCTGCTACCGGTGCCGCCGCCACCACCATCGATAATGGCAAAGTTACCGGCACTACATGGYTGGGTCGACTGACCATTTTTCTATGTATGCTATTGTTTTCATTTCACGCCGCCTCCGACGACTCGTACGTACAGTTTGCCGCCACATATCTCCAGTACATACCCTTACGTTTGACGGCCCGGATGTCGGCGGAAATTGTCTCCTATATGGGCCTAATGTTTACCGCCAGTCAAGCWGTTAGCATATTTGTAGCCCTAAAACTGCGGCCACACTATATGCTTGGCTATCATTTCCTGATTATGTTGGCGGGTATATTGCTTATGTATTTTGGTAAATACTCGCTRCAGCTTATGTGGTCCGGTATATTGGTTATGGCTTTCGGTATAGGCGCTGTTTTTCCAATTATTTTTACATTCATGAGCCATCAGATTGAAATTACCGATCGTGTCGGYACACTGTTGAACTTTGCCTCCAAAATACCCGGCCTTTTCGTCCCATCCATCATTGGCCAGCACATTGATCTCAGTCCTGATGTCTATATATTTGTTATGCTATTTGATTTGATTGTCTGCTGTGTCCTAGTAGTGGCCATACTAGTCATGACCCGAAAGTTACATAAATAATTGATATATATATATATAGAKATATATATATTGTTGTTGTTATTAACTTAAAACTTAAATCTATCTTAATTTTAAACTCCAAACTTATCATWATATCATTTTTATTTTTGATCCCAATTTTAATCATTTTCAGGGTAATTTAAATAGATAATTATTTATTACTATTATTATTATTTTAATGTTTAATATTTATTATAGTAAAATATGTTATGTTAGGATAATTTATATGACTAACTAATAAATGTTTTTCATGTTATTWTTTAAAATTATTAATAGTGATATTACAGTATTTAGTTAGTTTATTAATTATTATTATTACAATTAATGTATGATAATAAGTCATAATAATAATWWYTATTATTTTGTAAAAGTGATTTAKTATACTGTAGATAAATTAATTTATCATTAAAAATTTTAAATATTATATTATTGATAACTAAATATAATRGTMTATTAMTAATCTATMAATAGTTTTTAGTTATAAWCWGCATTTAAATTATAAATCAAMTTTTATATATATATATATAATTTTTAAATTAAAAMATATTTGTAATAAATMTGCTRTAAATATGACACTAAAATAATAATAATAAAATAAAATGCTATATCATTATATYACTATACAATAAAATTAAAACTTTTATTATTATTAATATTTTAAAATTTTTGTCAATTAAAAAATATTGTTTAAATACTTTAACACAAATAATAATAATTATTAGTTTTTWWAAAAAAATGTATACAAAATCCAAATTCAATCAACTTGGTGAATTATTACAATAACAATASMAATTTTTATTATTTTCAAAAAATAATTAATTAATATCAATCAAATAAAAACTAATTTTTTATGTATTAAACTTGAAAACAAATAAAACTTAATTAATTAMTTYATATTTATAAGTAATTTAAAACATATTAAACAAAAATCACATATCATGTTTATCACGTATTAATATTACATTGTACTGTATTATAATAATATTTATAATAATAATAATTTATTATAGTWATAGTTAATAAAAAAATACATACATAAATTACCTTGGCACATTTTTGTCAAATTAAAGTTTATAAAAATGGAAACTTCTAGTAATATTAATAATAATAATAATAGTAATGATAATATTCATAATACAACAACAATAACACATAATCTATTAGTTAATGAAATTAATAGTTTAGTTATTAATGAAACTAATAATAATAATAATGAAACTAATATAACTAATAATAATAATAATAAAACTACTAATAATAATAATAATAGTAAAACATTACAACTATTGCTAAAAACWGTACAAAAATATCGCAAATGGCTATTATTGATACCGTTTTTAGCCTACAATATTTATCTAGCATTTGCCATATATATTACATGGAATAAACAGGTATAATATATTTATTWTTTTTAAAAAATAAATAATCTTGAACATTTTTTGTTTTTTTTAATAAAATAAATATATTTATTATRTTATWTAGACTATATGTAGCACCTGTACGGCCGGTGCCTATTGCTAYGGGGTACGGCTGCTACTAGTATTGACTATTATAGTCTATATAATTGGCCTCTATTTTACTATACTTAAGAAACATCTACTGAAACCACTATACAAAAAATTAGTTRATTTTTATATAACAAAAACTACWRCAACAACAACAMCACAAACACGTGGCACGTGTTGTTTTCTGATACGACAACACGCCAGCAAACTAGTATGGTTTGTGGCTATAGCCGGTGCCCTGGGGTTTGTCATATGGGATTCATTAGGCGAACCAATGAGACTGGCATCCGGTGGCGGACTGTTGGCCTACATATTGATTGGTTATGTATTTTCGGTATTTTTTTGTGTATACAGAATATTCTAGTATTTCTATACTAATTGCTGTATTTCTATCACCTCCCCTCTCACACCCACCCCACCCCTACAAACACAATATACAGAAACATAGACGACATGTCCAGTGGTCACAGGTATTGCGTGGATTTTATCTACAGTTCCTGTTCGGTCTGCTAATAATCAGGTGGCAGTTTGGCCGACAACTGTTTCAATGTTTGGGCGATAAAACAATAACTTTTCTCGACTTTACTGATGCCGGTTCCGAGTTTGTATTCGGCTATCTGGTCACCGGTAGCCTACAGGGYAAYGTTACCTTCAATAATGGCACAACTGACCTACTAACTTCGACACTACCAGTGCAGGCATCGTTGTTTGCATTTAAAGTTAGTTTTTTTGTGTAAAGTTGTTTAATAATATACTAATATTATTGTTATTTTATGTTTTATATACATACCTGTCCTCTTAAAATTTATATATGAACCAGGTGATGCCAGTGGTCATATTTATTAGTTTTTTCGTATCAATACTCTACTACTATGGCATAATGCAGGTTATGATAGTTAAGGCCGGTTGGCTATTGCAATGGACAATAGGTGTAACCGCTTGCGAATCCATGTACGCTTGGGCTACGATTTTTGTGGGAATGGTATTTAAATATCTTATACTTATATATCTGATAACTAACAGTATTAACTAACTATTTTGTTTTTCCCCCTCTCCTATCCATAGAGTGAAGCTCCTATAGTCATCAGACCCTATCTGCCGGTGCTAACAAAATCCGAGTTTCATACGATAATGACCTGCAGTTATGCCACAATTGCCGGCTCAGTGATGGCTGCCTATATAAACTTTGGTATTAGTGCCAAATATTTGTTATCGGCCAGTCTAATGTCGGCACCGGCAGGTCTGGCCTTTTCCAAGCTTATCTATCCGGAGACCGAASAAAGCAGGACTACTACWACTACTGACGGCAATACCATTACTATTGAAAATAGGTTTTTATTATTATTATTATTTAGAAAATTATGTTTTTTTTAATTAACTACTRTATTATTATTACTGTATGTATGATTAGCACTGAGAGTAGTCCACTGGAAGCGGGATCTAACGGCGCCTCATTGGGTGTAAAGTAATATCTATTTATTTAAAAAWTAAATTATTTTGTAATTTAGTTTTTTTTAAATAAAAATAATGCTAAATAATAATWATTAATTTWATTTTAGACTAATAGCCTTTATATTAGCCAATTTGATAGCTATATTAGCATTCATACGATTTCTCGATACTATTATCTCATGGTTTGGTTCACTGGTTGACTATCCRGAGCTTAGTTTTAAAGTTTGTTAATTAAAAAAAATATATATATATTTATTTTAATTTTATTTTATTTTTGTTRTTGAAAATGTTTTATATATATTTATTTTWTWTTATTTTAACCTAATAGTTTATTTTATCAAAATTATTTATACCATTGGCATTGATGATGGGYATTGAATGGCACGAATGCGATAGAGTGGCCAAACTAATCGGTTTGAAAACCGTAATCAACGAATTTGTTGCCTATCAGGAGCTGTCAGTAATGATCAAAACGGGTGACATATCAGTCAGTCATTTACTTTTTTTAAATCTAATAATGTGTTTAATAATAAACTTTTGATGATTTTTTTGTTGGTTTTTATATATATACAGAAAAGAGCCCAAACAGTGGCCACCTATGCATTGTGTGGTTTCTCTAATTTCGGATCAATCGGCATAATGTTGGCCACAYTGACGGCACTGGCACCGGACCGTAAGTCCGATTTGGCWCCACTGGCGCTCAGGGCTATGATTGCCGGCTCTATTGTTTGCTTTATGAATGCCTGTATTGCCGGCCTATTGACATCTAGTATTTAATAATATATACCAGTTTATAAAATTGATAAATAATTTTTTTACATTAATAATATAATAATAGTTCAATACTTGTATAATATATATATTTAATTAGTTTACTTAATAATTTTAAGTTTAGTTAATATAGAAATTAATTCATTAATTAGAGTAAAAACAATAAATTTTATTATTTATTTTTATATATAATAAATATAATATACATAGATATAAATTTTTATTTTTTTAAATATATTGATAATTAATAAACTTTTTGTGTTATTTATTTAACTATTAAATATAAAGTATATTAATTTATCAAGATACAATTAAATGTTAAATTTATTTTTAAAAAATAATATTAATTAATTAGTTATAAATTATTGAAAAAATTAATTTTTTAGTATCAATTAAAACAATATTTTATTTATATACGGTTTAAATATTTATTTAAAAAAACTATGTTTAATAGACCGACTCAACCCAATCGCATAAAGCAATTTGACCGACACTTTTGATACCGAAATACATGCCAAACATCGGTGTCTTACCGTAATAGTTGTCCCGTAACTGTTGGTCGGCCATCAATCGATAGGATTTCATTGTAGTCAACGGTTCGTTACCCTTGAATTTAGCTAACGGGACAGCCGTCTGATTAATAGTAGTTATAGTACATCGTTTACATTGTAATAAACCAACTAATCGACAGCCATTAATATCAATGAGTGACCAACTGTCCTCTACATGAGCTGAYTGACAATTATCCAGCAAAATGTTTGGCCTAAAATTTTTATAGCTAACAACAACAACACTTGTTGGCGACTCTAGTRSTAAATCATTATTTTCYKCAAGTTTAGCATTTAATTTATCAATAGATTGTTGTGTAATAACCAGTATAGGTGCTTCATCATGGTAGATTATCTATAATTTTTTAAAAATAATAATAATAATTAATTTTTTKGATAATTTAAGAAAAAAGTTAATTATCACAAACCGGATAATCATTTGATTCGACAACTCTATTGTTATCGACGATAACCGAACCGTCTCTGAGACGACARTCGGCTATCGAGTGTTGCATTAGTCGGTAATAATCCGATGGTTTGTTTAGATAKCGATTGAACCATTTGGCCACTTCGGGACCACAATCCCAGCCATCGGTCGGCTGAAAGACTGTAATTGTTTCGGGACTTTTTGTTGTTGTTGTTGTTGGTTCRCTATTACCGCCGSCGGCYGCCACCGGTAACTTCAATGTCGGCATATCATCATCGGGTCCATCAATCCATAGCGTCGTTGTCGCCATTGTCGATCATCATCGTCATCGACAGTCTTAACAAAGCCAGTGTCGGTTCCTGTCGTAGGGTAACTACTGTACCCTTTTTGTTGACCAATACCCACGACCTGTCYCGGAGTGGACCCCATTCGACACCCGTACGGGTGATTTTSAGCTCAGATACTTCAATGCCGGGCAACGATTTAATTGGATATATAATCAATTTGCTAACTCTGGCCACACGTTGTTGTTGTTGTCGACGTCGTCGATGGCCACGTAGTTTGAAAACATATAGTAAAGTACCGGCAGTTATGCCAAACAATACAACWGTTGTCAATATTATTGACTTATTAGAAGTCATTTATAAATACTAGTAATTATTAATTAATTGTTTTTAAAWGTTTTATATGAAAACTAAAATTTGTACTCAATTTGAAAAAAACTATTAATAATAAGAAAAAATTGTRATAAAAATACTTATTAATWAATATATTAATAATAACTATAATAAAATGTTTATTACAACGAAATGATTATTACTGTATAATAATTATTATATGAATCATCATTTTTTTAWAAAAAATATTTTTTCTTTAAAAACATTTTTACACAAAAAACAAAATTAWTAAAATCATTCAATTTAGTATTATTTTTATTAATCATTMACTGAAAAAAAAATATWTTTGATAATAATAAAATATYAAWAAGATTATTATTAWTAWTAATTAGTAAAACTGATTGATTTTGTAATTTTGTTGATTTGAATAAATGTAAATAACTTTTAGACTTATTTTTATTTTATTTTATTATATTTATATTATAGACATATTTACARACCTATTATAATTTGTTTATGTTATATGATATCAGTAATTATWATTTTTTTAATTWAATGAATTTCTGTGTATATTATGTGTTTTATTTTTATATATTAAAATAGTGATAAATATTTTTAAAAACTAAATCAATAGTAACTATTAGCTAAATTATTATTTTTATATATAATTATACAAAACAACTTTTAGCTTACATTTATTATTTTCAAAAAAAAAATTTGTTRTAAAATAGTTGGAAAAATAGAAATTTATTTATAACTATTAATTTCAGTTTTTTTTTAAATAAAATGTTTTCAACTAAAATAAATATGTTTTTTTCAAAAATAATTGCAAAAAAACATAATTAACAAATCAATAGTAAYTGTAAAATAGAAAAAATTAATAACATTTAAATTATAATAAATAATATWATACTATAATTGTTTTKTAAATTATCAATTGACGTCAATAATTTTTAATATTATTATTATTTAAAATAATTAATAATTTTATCAATAATCAGATAATCAATAAATGTAAATTAATTAATTAATTTTTTTYTATCAATAAAAGTTTTTTTTATTAATATATTACAATTAATTTTTTGACTTTATATAACGTGCTTTTATAATAATAATAATAATAATAATAAATTATAATAATTAACATTTTTTTCTCAAAAATATATATATATATATATGAAATAAATTATTATAGATTACACAATTATTAAACAATTAACATTTAATTGTAATTATTCAATACATTAATACTCTTTAACAACAAAATAACAATGTTTTTAACTAACAATAATTTTTATTAAAAAACATTAATATAATTTAACAAATAATATCAATCATATATTAATAGATATATATATAACAATAATAATATTCTGTATCATTATAATAGGCATATAAATTAATTATAAATATTGTATCAATTATTGAATATATAATTTATTTACAATATATATATAGTTATATATATAAATCAATATATAATATTAATAGTGTATTATACAAATTGTTTGTTTTCAAAATGTTTTCAAATAGTGTATAATATAGTATCATATATATATATATMWATATATATAATTTTTATTATAATATATTAGTATAAAAAWTTTTTTAAATTACATATTTAAACATATGTAACATTATGTTAAATATTATTATTTACAGCTATATTAATAATAATAATAATAATTTTTATTATTATTATTATTAAATTTTAATTTAATAAATTACGTTTCCATATCAGTATAATAATTMATCATTTATTACTGCACTAATAGAGGTGTACGCCGGTGATGATGATGATCATAATGTTCATGGAGAATGGTRGGTAATAGAGGTGTTCCTAATATACACGCACACCCATACACCTACATTACACCCACCCATTCCACACACACACACACATACCTACTCAAGCAATGACTACGAAAGCTACGTAGCACCTTCTTTATCGCCCGACGACTCCTCTAGTAGAAAATCGCTGATATGCATATAAATGATCCAGTACATTAGATTAAAGCATAGGAAACAAACGGGAAACACTACTCGGGAATATTTGTCAATATCGGATGGACAGACACCGAACAGGGTGTTCGGATTTTTCGGACCCCTAAACGGTGTCAGTTGGGTGGGTGTCGACGGTGTTACCGCTTCGGCATCGGCRCCACTSAGCTCRAGATCGCCGTCCTGTGCCTGCATTTGTTTGTTTGCTTTGTACGATGGCGTACGGGTCAGTGTMCGCGAGCCRCCAGATATTCGGTAGCGAACCTCCTAAACAAACAAAACAAATTATTACAGTATAACCACACCWCCACCTACCCAMCCCACCCATCACTTACCGGCACATGTGTGACACCTTTCGGTGCCGGTATACATGGATTTGTATACAACGATGTCCTGATGGGCGGTTCCAGACCGCTATCGATTGAGGCGGCTATACATTTTTGGCGATGTTCGGCCAGATATTTGGCCAACTGTTGGCTRCGGGACTTGCGCATGGCTATACGTTTGCCCATATAGCCGACAGTGGCGTACTCCARTAGGGCGGCAAATACCATAACAAAACAAGTGCCGAGAAATACGTCAATTGATTTGATATATGATATCTTAGGCATAGCGGCATTAGTCGATGACATCAGGGTTGTCATTGTTAGCACTGTTGTGACGCCCAGTTGTACCCGAGCGGGACTGGCGTTCTGGTGTTGGTTGGTTAGCATACCATATATAATATATAGGATATATATTAGAGAGCGAGAGAGAGAGAGATTATATTAGTTTCTGTGTGTGTATATATATGTGTGTGTGTTGGTTGGTTGGTGTATGTGTATGTGTACCATATATAATATATAGGATATATATCAAAGAGAGAGAGAGAGAGAGAGAGTTATTATATTGTTTCTGTGTGTGTGTGTGTGTGCGATGTGTGTGTATGTATATATTATGTCTGTGTATGTATGTGTGTGTGTGTGTGTGTGTGTGTGTGCGAGGGTGTCATATRTTTGGGTAGATAACTGGGTGAATGTATACATACCCTATGCAACCAAAACGATACCCACGATATGATAACTATAAGACTGGCGGGTATATAGATCTGTATTAAATAGTAACCCATTGACCGGACAAACTCGATCTCGCAAACCAATCGCGAATAATTACCTTKGTAAATTTAAAAAATAATAAATTAAATAATAATTTTAATTTTAATAAAAACTATTTGTTTTTATTAAAAAAAATAAATAGTTATTAGTAATAGTAATAAAATACAGTGAAATAGTTTATAAAAATTACTAAATTTTTTATAATGAATATATTGTAAAAAAAATAATTTACAATTTGTTTGTTTATTAAAAATATTTAAATAAATTATCTATAAAAAATTATGGTATACAAAAATAATATGAATTATTAATAATTTATTATGCTAATTTAATGCTAACTTAATTACACTGTGTTATTATTATTAGTAGTAGTAGTATTATTATTATTATTAAAACATTGTAATTAATTATTTAATATAAGATTATTATATAACATACAGTATACTAAAAAACATCACTATTACAGTACGTCTACTGTATTATCTAATGTATAATTAATTATTACTTTAGTTTTACTAAAGAGTATATTTCATATGCATATTATTAATAAAAATGTTTATTATAATAAATACATAATATATACACAGTATTTCATGTATTATTTTTTTAAAAWTATTTATATCTAGGCTTAGATTTTAATGTCTAGWTTTTATTTATTAACTAACAAAATAATAAATTAATAATTAAAAACTTTTACATAGACAATGAAAATATATATATATATATTAATAAAACTAAATCAATAATTTACATACCGGTGCTCAGGAATTCAATTTTTTTCTTTTGATTGTGACCTTTGACTTTGAACTGCGGTAACTCTAGCGATGAGGACATACCTACGGCCAGTTCGTTGCACGACTCGCCGCAGTCACCCATTCCCCACTTGTACTGTATGTCAGACATTGAATAACCATCTATTATAATAAWAAAAATAAAATGATAAAATTAAAATTTTTAATTAATTAATTCAAATTAAACTGGTAAAACTAATAATCAACAACAAAAAATAATCAAAATTATATCTTATATTAGAAATCAATTTGTTGTTGATTTTTTAGTCTATAATAATATTATAATTTTTTTATGGTTTGCATTTTATTACAAATTTTTTTAAACATGTTTATTAATATATGATATAAAAGTAAATGCGTGTGAGTGTGTGTGTATGTATGTGTTTATKTGTGTGACTGTATGTATGCTTTTATGTGTGTGTTTGTGTGTGTGTGTGTGTGTGAGTATGTATGTATGTATGTATGTGTGTATGTATGTGTGTATGTAAATATGTTTGTATTTATGTGTGTGAGTATGTATGTATGTGTGTGTGTGTGTGTGTGTGTGTGTTTGAGTAATATTAAAAAACATTTGTGAAAGTAAAATATTTGTGTGTATAAATAATGTTGAAATGATAGATCAATTCAACTTTATAAATATAATATGATATATAATATAATAATATTTTTTACAGAATATACAAATACTAAATAAGAGTTCAATACAATTTTCCAGTATATAATATATATAATTTTTTTATGTTATTTTTGTATTATAATATTATAAAGTTTTTTTTATAGTATATACAGAAAATAAGCTATATTATATAATATCACAAATATAATTTTTTTTCAAGTATTGCTTTAAATTATATGTCATTATATTGGTTWGATAATAAAGAGAGAGAGAGAGAGAGAGAGAGAGAGAGAGAGAGTTGAAAAACATTATATATACAGTAGAGTATATAAATATATCGTTAGATTATATAACTTATATATAATACATAATAATACAATGTTTATCTTTTTCAATGTAAATTCAATATTAAATTATTTATTTTTTTTCATACATATACTGTTTATATGTTATCTTTTTTTAAAATATATTAAATTGAAAAGATATTTTTATAACAAATTTTTAAAAAAATCTTTTATTTAAAAAGTTTTTTATGAATGTACATTTCATATATAGTACATATACTTACTGTATATTTGTTTGTATTAAAAATATTATATATATATATATACATACAGTACAATATATTTATACAGTATATAACAACATAAAGTATTGTATAATAAATATACTAAAACTAGTAAAGTATTGGTATTACATTTAGCTTATAGAAAATGTATGTAAATAAAATTAAAAATAAATATAAAATAAAAAAATAAAACTTTACTTTTTTCCAACAATAACAACAAAATAAATATATATATAAAAAAAGATTAATGTATTTAAATATAATATTTTTCTTTACGATTTTTACTTCAGAAAATCTTTTAATGTATTTATATTTATTATTTTTTTTAAAATAAAAAATAACATTTATTTTAATAATTTCATTTATTCAAATTTAATATGCTATAATATACTGTATATAAATAATTATAATAATAAAAAAAATAAATATATTAAAATTTGCATAAAATTTTTTAATATATTAATACATAAAAATATAGTACCGGTATTATAGTATATGACTTTTAAATGACACAAATATATGATTTGAATAATTGAAAAATACGAAAAAAATATTTTTACAATATATTGATATTTATAKGCCATTAGTATTAGTACTAATAATATGATTTTTATAAACATATTAAAAATGCTAATAAAATATATATATATAATATTATAAATTTTTTTTTTTTAATAAATATAAAACATTATGTTTTTAAAATAACATTAACATAAAGCTTAGGTATAAATTTGATAATATTTGCAAAAATATTTAACATATAATATTAATAAATATATTATAATGGATGAAAATATTTTGATAATTTTATWATTTTTGTTGTTGTTGTATATATTTCTCATAAATCACAGAAAAWTTTGACTTAAATTAATCATAAATTATTTAATATTTTATTAAACATTAAAAGTATATTTTTTGAATAAATAGTATAGATTTGTATTTTGTTGTATTTTAGATTTTATAGAAATTATATTTTTTAGCAACTATAGTTATTAAATTAAAATTTTATAATAATAATAAAAAAATAATAGCAATCATCATCATCATCATCATAATAATCAAATTTATTGTTATATTAAATTGACTTTTTAACGCAATAATATTTATATTACTTTTACCAACAAAAAAAATAATAATAATAAATTATATAAATTAAATAAATTATATTTTGAATAAATAAATTAATATATATATGTACATAAAAAAACTAAATTTTTCTAATCAAAATATACTACAATATATTTTATTAAATAAAAAATAGTTTTGTAACCAAAAAATATTATACAAATTTAATAACAAATATTTTTATATACAGATATTAGTACARTATATACCTGTATATTATTTATTATAATATATATATATATTGGATTTAATATTATATATATATATATGAAATGTGTTTTTTTCGTAACTATTATTTTTTTTTGTTGCAAACTATATATATATTGTATATATTATATACAAATTGTTTGTTTCTAAAAATAACATTTTGATCCCTTGAAAACTTTCAAATTGCATTATAACATGAGTACGTATACACTGTATTATACTGTATAATAGTATATTAAATATGTATTTATTTTTTTAAATATTTTATTATACAAAAAATATTATATTATATATTCATAATTTAATACTTTACATAACATAATCATTAAATAAACATTTTATGTATATATATATATTTAAAAAATCAAACAATATTTGTTAATACAATGAAACTGTAATGTCTATTATATATAAACTAAAAAAAATAAATATTATATTATCTTAAATTATAATATATTTTTATAAAAATTAATTTATATAATTATACATTTTTATAATATTAARTTTATCATAATTTTTTCTATCAATTTAAATTAACATTAATGTTAATATTTTCAAATTTAAATATAAAYATTTAATATATTGTAGTATTTTATTGTTTAATATCATTTTTTAAATATTTTTAATAAACACTATAAAAATAACTAATGTTTTTATCGAAAAAAAGATATAAAAAATAAATCCAATGTAAAATATAGACAATAATTATTTTACATTATTAAACATCATGTTATTTTTGTGATATACAAAATTTTTATTAATATTATTATTATACAAAATATACTGTATATCAAAAAAAACTAATATTTTATATACCTATTGGCAAAAATAGCAAAAATAAAATAATAATGTATTAATAATAGAAAACTTAGAAAACTTATAGTATTTTTTATATCCATATATATATATGATATATACTGTRTTACATTAATTATTTTAACAAAATATATTGTATATTATAGTAAAATATGTAAATTTATTTTATTTTATTTTTTGTTCAGAGAATCTGTACATTTCATAATATTTTTTGAAATTTAAAAAAAATATATTATTTATTTAAATACCGGAATAATACTTTATTATTTGCAACAAAAAAATATATATAATCAATACTATTTGAACTATATATTGTAATGTTTAAATCAAAAAACATTTTTTATATWTGATATTTATGTATTAATATTATATACAAACTATATATTTTTAAAAGCCTTTAAGATATTAGTTACTTATATATATATATATTTYTAGTTATAAATAATAAATAATGATATTTAGTAAAATATTGTATGCAAAATATACTGTTTATATTTAAATAGTTGTCTAATAATACTACTAATACTAATAATATAAATAAAATTATCATTATTTAACTGATTTTATTATACAGTACAACAACATTAACATTAATCTAATGTATATAAAAAAAATAATAATACTGTTAATTATAATTATCAGTTAATTTAATATAATATTTTTTTATTAATATATTGAATCTGTTATATTTATTTAAATTATTATTATTATTWTTATAACAATTTCTATAATCTCTTGAAAAAAAACAATTCTCTGAGARTATAAAAAAAAWTTATAAATAAAATAAAAAATAAAAATATAACTTATTTGTTATATATATTCTGTAATAATGTATTTATTTATATTAGTGTTTTATATATATATATATATATATATATAGTTTTATATACAGTATATACTGTATTTAGTCAGTTAAACAGTTTTGTTTTAGTTTAGTTTTGTTTTAAAGGTTATCGATGTGTTTGGTTATACCCAAACCACATGCGACAAGAAAATGCTTTTAACACTCAAATTATATATGTTTTTTTGAAGTACACAATAGATATATAGATATACTGGATATAAATTTTTTTGTTTTGTTTTTTTTAGTATAAAATATATACAGTATATTTATTTTTATATGCAATTAATATAAATTGCAATCACACACACACAMATACAGTAAATAAATAAATAAATATCTAATAATAATAATTGTAATAAAATAATATTGTGAAATTAAACTTGTATTTAATAAAAATTATTATTTTTAAAAATAACTTATTCTAGAAATAATAATAATAATGATTTTTTATAGTTATTTTAGAATTAATGATATATTTAATAATATTTGTTTTTTTTAWAAATAATAATTACAGTATAAAGTTTTTTTAAATTGTTATTAAAATATAAATTTAATAAAATCATAAATTAAAYAAAATAATTTTAGCTATATATATATTAGCAATATACAACAACAACAACAAATTTATGTTTTTATTTTTATTAAATTTATTCATTAATAATATATTATCAAATAATAATATTTATAATAATAATAATAATAATAAAAATAATGTAATCATAAATCTAGTCTACAATAATAGACTGAATTTGTTTAATCGTATAGAAAATTGTAAACAATAAAAATTACTAAATTATATTATATTATACTATTTACTGTATATTATAAGGTAGATTGTGTGTGTGTGTGTGTGTGTGTAGATGTGTGTGTGTGTGTGTGTGTATGTGTGTGTGTGTGTGTGTGTGTGTGTGTGTGTGTGTGTGTGTATGTGTGTGTGTGTGTGTGTG